GAAATGAATAGTGTTAACTGTTGAGTAGAGCAGCTCCGATCGAACAGTCAAGTTCAACTGTTCATGTTAAAGATTGATAGTTGTTTTCCACTTCTCTCGTTTTGTTCAATTCGGTATAATTTGACTCGTCTTGATTTACACCGATATTTCTTGTACCCTTTCCTCTCAATGATTGATAATTGTCTTCTTTGTTCATTTTTTTAAGATCCAGTTCTTGATAAGTTGTATCAACTGGAAAATTTGAAGGTTCCGGTTTTGATAGTTGGGGTTTTCTACTTTTACGAAAACGGAAGACAACGAAAGAAAGAATGATACCGATGACGATTCCAGACACCAAAGTTACGACAGTGATATACCATTCAGTTCCACCACAATCTACTGCAGAAGAATTATCACCTGTCACAGGTGTAGGGGTACCGGTCATAGGTGTACCAAGAGGGATGCAGGTAGTCGTACAGGTAGGGATACATGTGGTGGTTACAGGATTCATCCCAATGCTTGCGGTGCCCAAAACTGTTGGTTGATTTTTTGACAGCGTTATTGCTTCTGGTTCTTTTTACCATTTGCCACCATGTATGAGTAAAAAATGAAAGAATTAGTAGTCGTAGACGAAAATATCAAGAACACTGAGAAAAGATGATGGTGTATACGGCAGTGTCACATAACTTTGCCCGAGTCAACCAGTCACACACATGCAGACATGCTGGACATATAATAAATTTGATATACTCCATGTTTTTGTGTATTGATAAAGGCCGATCTACACGATGCGATTAGTCGTATACGATTCTTATCCTGACGTATGAAAAAGATTGGTAACGTCACTCTGTCTGTTCATCAGTTTATAACGAAATTTAAAATGGGAAACCTTTACACGCATTTATTCGAATACATACGCCAGTATACGAATCGTATGCGACTAATCGCATCGTGTAGATCGGCCTTAAGGTCTCATTCGAACTTATTTACTTTTAAAATAAGAGCAACATCGTTACTGTGCCGGATTTTGTTTAGCTTTCACACAAGAGCTTTTTTCAAGTAACATGCACCTTACGAATAGAAAGGAAGTGTAGGCCTAGTCTGGTTTTTCAAAAACGTTTGATAATGACATGGATAACTATGAATCGCAAGCAGATCGCCTTGGCCCTTGCGTCTACAAATATGATTTTGAGATTGATATAAACTGGATTCTGTGCTTTAACACATTTTAGCTCTCTAAAATAAATTTTCTTTTGAAATCATTGTAATTTCGCTCATTTTTGTGCATAAAAAGCCATAGCGGCGTTACAGTATTATCCCCGAGCCGGTGCGGAGCACCGTGCGAGGGTACTAATTCCGCCCGGAGATTAGGAATTACACCCGGGGCCCGGGAGAACATAGCGGAAGTGAGCGGAATCCAAAGTTGCCCAAATGTCATGGACGTTCAATGGTCATGGTACTTGTGCGCATGCGCGAAATGCGAACGAGTGTAGACTGGTAATCAGTAACTTCCTGATTGGCTAAGACGAAACGTTTGTGTTTCAGTGAAAAACGTCAGCAATTTAACTGTCATTTTGCAAACTATTTTTTAAAACAATGTTTCGAAAACAAAATATGAAATGTGGAATCAAAAAACAGATAAAACACTGGGAAGAGTTTAAAATATTATCAGAACTGGAGGAATTAGCGGTGAAAAGGAACAACTCGATTATAATCCTTGAAATGGTAGGAGTCTATTTTGTTTATTTCGAGGTTTATTTCGTGTTTGCTGTACGAATATTTTTATGACCTTGGTACAGTATGTCGTTTTGCTCGGTTTTGCGAAGACGTAACCGACTATTTAAGGCTTTACATCATCGTTTTAACTTCCAAAAGAGTCCTTAAAAGTGTAATTCGGAGTTTTAATATAACAACTATTAAAGGTTTATATATAGTCGACTGCAATCACTCCACGAATTTAATAATCGAAAAACAACATTCGACGTTCACTGCTTGGTTATTTATATTATTTGGGCTGTTTTGATGTTTTGAAGGTTTAGCTATAGTGAAGTATTAACTCTCACTTACACTGTGAAAGTCTATAACTTAATGCAACGGAAAGCAGCAGGAAAACGGGTGATTTCACTTCACCTTTACGACTGTGTTTGTTTCCGAAAAAATTGAAACATCAGCTATCGGCTTTACATTTAGGACATTTCATAATATTGAAGGTTAGGTCTGGCTAGCTCAGGAAAATATTTTGCTTCGTTTGAAATGCGAGGGGTTGCTGCATGCATGTATTTCTAGTACCTGTTACTGAAGACGATACTGGACGTGATGGCGTTATTTCTGGTTTTATTATGGTTGATGATGGCATTATTGTTGATGATAGTGGTCCTGTTAGTTCCGCAATAAAAGAAAGAAAGAATTAAAACATTCCTAAAAGAAATCTCATCATTACATCGAAGAAAAGAGGCTATAAGCTTATAACCATGCAATAGCGTTTTCATTAAAGATGAGGTAAAGTCCGTTCTGCGCATAAATTCCGCGCATCAACACATTCCATCAGTGGGGGAGCAACTTTTGGAATGTTAATGATATGCGATATTAGCGCGTTGTATTACAAACGGCAGTTCGGGAGCAAAATTATTTTATTTTATGTCGCAAGCCGAAGAGGCTCGAATTGCGAGTCACGACGATAACTTATCTTATCATAAAGCTGCTAGAAAAAGCAATATTATGCTGAAAGGAATGCTCCAAGAATTTATTTGTTGAATAAGGCCCGAAATGGCGAGGCTATTTGTTGTCGCTACAGACGCCACCTTCTCGCTTGTCCTACAATTACAAATATATAACGTTTTAAATAACGGCCGGTTTATTTACAAGCTTCGCTTTATATTTTCTTCAAAATATAACAATATTTTCTTCAAAATATAATAAAAAATAAGCATACTGCATATTCATCACAGATCACAGCCCGTCGAGCGAGAAGAAAATAACAAAATTATAACTACGCATACGTCATGTAAAGATTATATAACCAACGTAAACAAACATTGTTATGCGCAGAATATATGCTCAGAACGGACTTTACATCATCTTTAAGATTTTTACAGTTGATTTCACAAAACTTTGGCCGCTCCAGTTGCGAACTATGTTTTGAAATTGTCAAGTGGGCGGGGAAGTTGTCAATTCCGTTTTGTAATTCGCAACGAATTTCTGAAATTCAAATCGAACTTCGAAATTTCAAATCAAACTTTGCGGGCAATTTGGCTCAGTCTCTATAAAATGGCCACTATAAAATACCAGGGCAAAGCAATTACCATATATTTCTTTACTGCATTGAAATTGCTTTGCCCTGGTGTTTTATAGTGGCCATTTTATAGCGATTTAGTCAAATTGCCCGCAAAGTTCGATTTGAAATTCCGAAGTTCGATTTGAACTTCGGAAATTCGTTGCGAATTACAAAACGGAATTGACAACTTCCCCGCCCACTTGACAGTTTCAAAAGGCTATCTTTAAAACAGGGAACGGGGAATGGGGGAATGGAACGGGGAATGGAAGGGAATGGAATGGCTTCGGGGAATGAGCCGGGGAATGAGCCGGGGAATGGAATGAGCCGGGGAATGAGCCGGGGAATGGAATGAGCCGGGGAATGAGCCGGGGAATGGCCGGGGAATGGAATGGCTTCGGGGAATGTGCAGCTTGTGCGTCAGTGCGAGTTGTGTTGAATGTTTGGCCCATTTGGCGTGATTAAAACCTGTAAACGCTTCCATGTCACGAATCATGAGACAGCTACTCACAGTTTGAATTCCTTGAGGTAAAAGACAAAGCGATTACAAGCTCATAGTATAAATGCGATGTTTGCATTGTCATTGTGATGTACATTGATGTACATTATATAGATAGAATTTGGGTAAAGGTCAATGTGTGTGATTAAAAGGTGAATAAAGATACTGACACAGTGTCACTTGTTTTTTTTTTTTTCAGGCTATGTGAACCTCTGAACAGTTTTGTTTAAGCAGGAATAATGGTTGTGGTGGAAATGTGGTGAATGCATTCTTGACAAGTTGATGGGTTTGCTTCCAAGAATACACTGAAACTTGGAGCAACAATGACTTTGAATATAATTATGTAATTAATATATTATTTATTAATCTTAATTTATATGACTTTTTACCTCACATAATTCAAATAATGTTCAGATAAAGAGGTAAATATTTCACTGTTAATGGTGTAATAAATATTTTATATGTTGATTATATTCATAATAAATTATTTGTCCTGCTCCATACTTTGGCATTTCTGTTTAAGAAATCCCACCATAGTAGATCTTTTTTGAAATAGTTACAGTCAAGTTGTTGTCTAGTTTTAGTACAAAATAATACAAGTGCTACAATTAAACAAGGGAAAATAATAAAAATTAATTACATAAGCAAGCACATTTTCTATTTTAAAAAGGTCTATGAATTGAGATGACATGTACTAACAATTTTGTGCATTAATTAAAGACAATTGTTATTACTGTGGGTTCTTTAATATTGTCCAATACTCCCAGTGACATCCCACTGAAATTCCTGCAGGTGCATAGACCTTTTTAAAATAGAAAATGTGCTTGCTTATGTAATTAATTTTTATTATTTTCCCTTGTTTAATTGTAGCACTTGTATTATTTTGTACTAAAACTAGACAACAACTTGACTGTAACTATTTCAAAAAAGATCTACTATGGTGGGATTTCTTAAACAGAATTGCCAAAGTATGGAGCAGGACAAATAATTATTATGAATATAATCAACATATAAAATATTTATTACACCATTAACAGTGAAATATTTACCTCTTTATCTGAACATTATTTGAATTATGTGAGGTAAAAAGTCATATAAATTAAGATTAATTAATATATTAATTACATAATTATATTCAAAGTCATTGTTGCTCCAAGTTTCAGTGTATTCTTGGAAGCAAACCCATAACTTGTCAAGAATGCATTCACCACATTTCCACCACAACCATTATTCCTGCTTAAACAAAACTGTTCAGAGGTTCACATAGCCTGAAAAAAACAACAAACAAGTGACACTATGTCAGTATCTTTATTCACCTTTTAATCACACACATTGACCTTTATATTAAGAACTAAAAAGATTTCTGCAAAAAATACTATTACAGTATTATACTAATTGCCTTCAGATTTTGGAGGATTTACATTGAACCACCTACCCAAATTCTATCTATATAATGTACATCAATGTACATCACAATGACAATGCAAACATCGCATTTATACTATGAGCTTGTAATCGCTTTGTCTTTTACCTCAAGGAATTCAAACTGTGAGTAGCTGTCTCATGATTCGTGACATGGAAGCGTTTACAGGTTTTAATCACGCCAAATGGGCCAAACAAACTCGCACTGACGCACAAGCTGCACATTCCCCGAAGCCATTCCATTCCCCGGCCATTCCCCGGCTCATTCCCCGGCTCATTCCATTCCCCGGCTCATTCCCCGGCTCATTCCATTCCCCGGCTCATTCCCCGGCTCATTCCCCGAAGCCATTCCATTCCCTTCCATTCCCTTCCATTCCCCGTTCCATTCCCCGTTCCATTCCCCCATTCCCTGTTTTAAAGATAGCCGTTTCAAAACATAGTTCGCAACTGGAGCGGCCAAAGTTTTGTGAAAGCAACTGTAATTGAACTATAAATTATAATTAGCTGTTGTAGCACAGGCAGCCCGGTCACTGCTGTTACGTCATGCTATTATATATGTAGCTATAAAATTACAATAAGGCTGGCAACTCTCTCGCAAAAAATATAATACATACATTAATACCATCGCTTAAAACAAAAATACTACGCTAGTTTCTTAAAAAAAAACAGATACAAAACACCTTGGATATATTGACTATATTTATCTGTCGTTTTTAGACTTGAAAAAAACTCTAAAATGCTCAAATTTTGCGAATTAAAAGTGTATTTTCGTTGAAATTTTGCGAGGCAGAGGCGGGATGCAATTTACTCGACAAACGTCATCATCGGAGAATTCGTCGGCAAATTTCTGATTGGCTGTGGCACAGAGCATACAGAGGTTTGACTGCCGTTAATTTTGCGTACCCCTTGGCTTAGCCAGTGCGCTCAAGAGAGACCTTCTCCCCCCGGGAAATCATGCATATGGCGGCGGCTTGAATATAAACAGCCGAGACAGAACTATCTGGAGAAATCGTATTTTGACAAACGTTGCTCAATTTTTTTCTCAAAACCAGATTTTGTTAGTTCTTATCCTTTAGAAGAGTATAGAAGTAGGAGCGATTGTTTAAATAAAGTGAAAATGTGGAATATATGGATATTTATAATGTTCGGGGGGGATAGGGTCTCTCTTTAGCGCACTGGCTAACAACATGGCCGCTAGGAACGCATAATTAATGCCAAGTCAAACCTCTGTATGCTCTGTGGCTGTGGCAAGTTTGGAAAAAAACGAAGATCTTTTTTCTTCATCGAGTTGACCTTCGTAATTTTCCGAACTTGCCACAGCCAATCAGAAGTTTGGCGACGAATTCTCCGATGATGACGTTTGTCGAGTAAATTGCATCCCGCCTCTGTTTCGCAAAATTTCAACGAAAATACACTTTTAATTCGCCGAAATTTGAGCATTTTAGAGTTTTTTTCAAGTCTAAAAGCGACAGATAAATATAGTCAATATATCCAAGGTATTTTGTATGTAGTTTTTCTTTAAGAAACTAGCGTAGTATTTTTGTTTAAGCGATGGTATTAATGTATGTATTATATTTTTTGCGAGAGAGTTGCCAGCCTTATTGTAATTATATACATATATAATAGCATGACGTAACAGCAGTGACCGGGCTGCCTGTGGTTGTAGTTAACTTTTCATAATTCCTCTCATTACTTTCAAGCGATTTAATATATTTAGGACCTCACATATATATAGTCCTCTTTAATCTTAATCCTATATATAGCGCTCTTTTCTTTTGGAAAGAGGACTATATTATATTCTTGTAGTATTTGGGGGCAAATGGCCCCTTTTAGAGGGAGGGCCCGTTGTTGTCAAATTTCATTGCACTCGTACTTTTCTCCCGATGACAGAAATAGTGAAGAATTGCGTTTGAAGGGTTAAAAATTTAATCTTACCTATAACAGTTAAATTGGCAGAGTCTGAATCATTTCCAAGTTTGTTGTTTGCGACGCATTTATATGTTCCATTGTGATGGTAGTCCACGTTTTTTATGATAAACGTCCCACCGTCATTGATCTTGGAACCATTATGGAATATGGCATAACTGGGCTCAGGTAAACCATTTGATTCACACGTGATCTCGACTAATGAACCAACTTCAGCTACTTCAGGTTTGATCGTTATGTTTGTATCTTTAGGTTTATCTGTTGGGAAATAAAATCTCTTTGTTATGAATGCATACAATTTTATGTGTGCCTATATAGCATGGTTCAGAAATATTTGAACTGTATTCACCAAAACTTAGACTTTCTGGATGTAATTCGGTCTCTTGACCTTAAATTCTATCGTAGTGTAATAGAACCATTTAGAACCATCATTTTTTTCCACGCGTTATCTATTTACTCAGAATAGTGTTCCTACTTATTGATCTGGGATTTTGTGATTTGTGTATTCTGCTACCTAAAACTACATGAATTTCTATTTGTTTTGCTAAATGTATTTAATTTTGACGAGTTGTTTAAAATACACTAAAAACAAGAACACACTAAAAATCATATTTAGGACATACGTAAAAACCTTTACGTATAAAATGTATAGCTACATGCAGCCTTATTTTAGCTCCAAACCACGTCCTTGCAGAGATAAGATATAATCACACCGCATGCGCTTACAATTAAGTCTGACGTTTACTTGAATTGACTTCACTTTTGTCACATTGATGTGACTTTGAGCTTTGCACGTGTAATTTCCAATGTGTGTTTTATTAACATTTGTAAGATTCAATAATTGTTCTCCTTTTTCTATCTCACCAATCTTGACGTCATTTTTATCATACCAACTAACATTAGATGTTGGTTTGCCGCCTTCTGCTTTACATAAACACGTGAAATTATCACCTTCGTTCACTGTGCTGGGATTGGAACAACTGAGTGTTATATTTGAAGCAACTAAAATAAAATAATACCATTATTAGAGCAGAGGAAATTACAGTAAAAACCTGCTGACAAAAGCCAAAAGTCTGCTGACAATCTAAATGCGTTTGACTTGTTCTCAATTGAATTCATTCATGAGAAAAAAGTACTATTATTATCATCGGAAATAATTCATTTTCAGAGTTTTAAAGAATTACAGGTGCATTGATATGACGCACGTGACCAGTCCCCTATAGTTAAATTTCTCGGAAGACGAGGTTGCCCTCATCTGTCGTACAGATTAATAAAATAATTTCTACAATTTTCAAATAAAAACATACTGCAGTACATAGACGCTTGACAACAAGCGCATAAACTTACGAAAACTATTTACTGAAGAAAAACAACTATAAAAGAAACTTACCAACAATAATGACGGTAACTTTCGAAGCAGTATTAGACGATTTTGCTACAACAGCAAACTTGTATACTCCATCATGATGACGTCCAACGTTCTTTAAAACCAATGTTGCAGGCTTTTGTGCAGCGAACATAGGAACGTTGGTGACTATTTTAACGCTATCATTACCATTTATTGTTGCAAGTGTTTTTGGATTGTTGTTAGGGGGATAATTACTTGTAAATGACCAAGACCGAAAAAACACATCAGATATTTTATCATTAAACGTCCACTCTATTTTTGCTGTTGATCCCGGTAACAAAATCATCTTGTTTCCACTTGATGGTGGAGATACGTCTCCTAAAAAAATTAGGTTAATTTTTGTAAACTGATTTTTGAGGGTTTTGTAGGAATTCAACTCGTCACAATATCCGTGAAGGTCAAAAGAGCAAAAATTACAGAAATTTAATCATATCTAATATTTAATCTAATCATAGAAATAGAGATTTAAAATCATAGAAAAAATTTTTATCACGCGCACTGTTTCCCGGCCTTCTGTTCTCTTGTACCTTCATCATTTTTGGGCACATTGCCACATTACCCCCTTTGAGACGCTGCAAAAATCAGCGGCTACTTACGCCATTGATGATACGGGGGACTCACGGTTTCTGACGAAATTTGTCAGGGCTATTTTCCTGATCTGAGCATCTAAAATCTGAGCATTAAAAATCAGTGAAGGAAATTTACATTTGGGAATTCTGTTTGAATTCTCAAAAATGATTGGAAAAATGCTCAAGGGCTACACAAAGTATCAACTCTATCATTAGCCGCATGTATCATTGCATAGAAGTTGGGTTGGTAAGTTAGTTAATTAATTAGCCAAATATTGTTGTCGACAAGCCTTTGATTTCTTTGTTTCATAAGAAAAGATAATATTTGGCTAGTTTATTCACTAATATACTAGTCACGCCCATTGAAAATAAAATTCGTCGAGAGAAAAACGTCGAGAGAAAGTGTTTTGTCAATTTTAATTTTTTAACAGGTTTTTGAGTCTTTTGACCAAGCTCTTATTCACCTGTAAATACCGTCATGGAACGGTCACGACTAATTTGAGATCTTCCACTCAATGAGTAATGAGTTTGAGCTTTTAGAATTCAGGCGTTAATGTTGCTGACGTATTATAGTGGATTTAAGGCATCTAATCATGTTAAACGCGGAAAAGCAGTCGAATTTAAACGCTTGCGTAACCAATTACAAAATTGGTAATTAGAATTCAGGCGTTAATGTTGCTGACGTATTATAGTGGATTTAAGGCATCTAATCATGTTAAACGCGGAAAAGCAGACGAATTTAAACGCTTGCGTTACCAATTACAAAATTGGTAATCAGAATTCAGGCGTTAATGTTGCTGACGTATTATAGTGGATTTAAGGCATCTAATCATGTTAAACCACAGGTAGCCCGCTATTGGATTTGCTTTTAGTTAAATATTAAACACATTCTATGCAAAACGACATGAAGTGTCATCTTCATTCATTCACTGCCGACATATTATCGCAGGCGCCAATTCGTGCGGTGCAGTGTAACCTTTATGTATATATTAATCACAGGTAGCCCGCTATTGGATTTGCTTTTAGTTAAATATTAAACACATTCTATGCAAACGACATGAAGTGTCATCTTCCTTCATTCACTGCCGACATATTATCGCAGGCGCCAATTCGTGCGGTGCAGTGTAACCTTTATGTATATATTAATATAAGGTTGGCAACTCTTTGTCGTATTTTCACATTTACGAATTACATACCCAAATTACACATGAAAATACTCGTACTTAAACACAAAAATATACACAAAAAACTAAATCTATGTGGGAACTGACTCTCCTAAAACATTTCCGAAACATTTCTTTGTCTTTAAAGCCATTGCAAATATGTGAAATTTAGGAAAAAACAAACACTTTTTGGTTGAATTTTTTGAAAAGCCGTCGCGATCCCATCACCCTGCCCTACGTCACAGCAAACACGCAATATGATTGGCTTAGCTTTGAATTTTGAAATTTGTTTACGTTAACGGGACTCAACCAGCCAATCATATTGCGTGTTTGCTGTGACGTAGGGCAGGGTGATGGGATCCCGACGGCTTTTCAAAAAATTCAACCAAAAAGTGTTTGTATTTTCGTAAATTTCACATATTTGCAATGGCTTTAAAGACAAACAAATGTTTCGGAAATGTTTTAGGAGAGTCAGTTCCCACATAGATTTAGTTTTTTGTGTATATTTTTGTGTTTAAGTACGAGTATTTTCATGTGTAATTTGGGTATGTAATTCGTAAATGTGAAAATACGACAAAGAGTTGCCAACCTTATATTAATATATCATAGGAAGCCCAGACAAATGAGTTGAAGTTAATAAAAATCCGTAAAACACTTGAGATATGTGTTAAAATTAATTAAAGTATGTAATATGCTACAAAACTACTGTTAGAACCATGTATGTAGCGTGCTCCAGAGGCGCTGCCATTTGACTATGCAACTAGTGAGTAGTGACGTAACTTACTATATTATTAGGAAGGATGGAAACTCTCGCCTCAATTTTCAACATGTTCACAAATTAAAACACAAATCACTATAGTAAAACGGCACGTCGACTGCTAAATGCCTACCCTAGGTTTAAGTTGAATAATCAAACTATACTTTCATCACAAAAATAATGCTGAATTCAAAAGAAAGCGCTGGAAAAACGTGCACAAACTTTGTAAATTTGCCGAAATTTTCGTGAATTCATGCGGGATGTAAGTACCTACCCAAAATGGTGGCGGCAGAAGAATCTGATTGGTCGAGAAAGGTAAACAAAGTATGATAAACCAATCTGATTGGTCGAGAAAGGTAAACAAAGAATGATCGACCAATCAGATTCTTTTGCCGCCGCCATTTTGGGTAGGTACTTACATCCCGCATGAATTCACGTAAATTTCGGCAAATTTACAAAGTTTGTGTACGTTTTTCCAGCGCTTTCTTTTGAATTCAGTATTATTTTTGTGATGAAAGTATAGTTTGATTATTCAACTTAAACCTAGGGTAGGCATTTAGCAGTCGACGTGCCGTTTTACAATAATAATTTGTGTTTTAATTTGTGAACATGTTGAAAATTGAGGCGAGAGTTTCCATCCTTCCTAATAATATAGTAAGTTACGTCACTAGTTGCATAGTCAAATGGCAGCGCCACTGGAGCACGCTACATACATGGTTCTAACAGTAGTTTTGTAGCATATAACATACTTTAATTAATTTTAACACATATCTCAAGTGTTTTACGGACTTTTATTAACTTCAACTCATTTGTCTGGGCTTCCTATGAATATATACATAAAGGTTACACTGCACCGCACGAATTTATGGCGCGCCAGACGGGACAAAAATACTTCCTTTAAAATACATGACTTGTTTTTGAAAATTACACCTATAAATGTGCGCATATAGAACTTTCCAAAGGATTTAAAACTTATCTTACAAAAACTACACCTTTTCAAAGAGAATAATATACTTTTTTTGGAACAATAGTTGTTATATTTTAAAACTATCCAACACGCAAAAGACTTGTTCCTTTTAATAACACTTCTTTTTTAATTTGATCGCGGGCTCAGAAAAGGCTCACGCTTTGATCGTGGGCCACTGCCACTGTGTCGTGGGCGCATGTGGAAAAATTTGTAAATTACTTACCTTCATGTATTTCTTCATTTACATAAAACGTTTTCGAAGTTTTACATTCTTATAGTTTTAAACTTTAAATAAAAAACATGGCCGAGGAACTAATGAACCGATTAATTAATGCTGTTGATAATCTAAGAGAGGGAAGTCAACTCCGAAATCAAAATAACAACAATAACAATCAAGAGTTAAGAGGTAATGGACAGACCATAGAAAATACAATGAGGCGCCTCTATCCAAGCACTGATTCTGACCGGAGCTATGTACCTAGTGTTAGAAACTTCGAGCCATCGACCAACTATCGACCGAAGAAAGGAAAGAAGAACCTGGGTAAAAAGAGAAAGCAGATCGATAATTCTGCTGATAAAGGGAATTCCAACAAAGAAAAACCTGTTTTGCGCGATGTGATTCTTTTGCCATCGCCGAAAATCGTTGATGTGCCACGTGGGTTGAAGCGGGAGAAATTGTATACGCAAGGATGTTGTATTTCTGCTTTTGAAATCTGCGATAGCCACTCTGAAAAGGAAATCAGAAATAAAATGATCACTGCATTTGGTGAAAAGTTGAAAGGTTTGCCAGATCCAAAATTCAAATTTGTTAGAGCAGTTGGAAACAAAATAGTTGATCCCTCGTGTGAAACATACACCGGAAAAGTCTTAAAATACTTAAACAAGCAGGGACCAATATATGTTCGTGCTGTGTCAGCAATTTTTCAAGAGGACTTGAGCAATCCGTGGAGCGATGATGACTCAAGTATTGCAGACCAAGTGGAGGATTTGCCATTGGAAAGTAGTGATGACGAAGTTCTGCTTGTGCATGCATTCCAACAGAGTAAGAAAGATAACACTAAGGCTAAAGTTCATGATAGTGACCAAGGTGAAGCAAGTACCTCTGGTGTCACCGCAAAAAAAAGCAAGTGCCCCACATGCTACAGAAGTTTCCCTTTAACTGAGATTGCAGAACATGCTGACACTTGTGCAGAATTAGCAGATGGCTTTTCCTCCAGCAGGCAAACATATGGAGATTTACTAATGGAATTTCCATGTGATGACATTATTGATGTGGATGCAGAAACAAGTTGTGTTGCTGAAGAAGTGCCAAAGAATGATCAAATTAATCTTCAGGAGTGTTTAGAAGCTCTCCAGAAGAATATTCATGAAGCAAGAAGTACCATATATGTTCGTCGCAAACTGCTATGGGAAGATTATGTAGATGCTAACAATCACAACAAGTGGTTTAATCCTCAAAATTCTCTCAAGGTCAACTTCATTGGGGAGAAGGCTGTGGATGGTGGAGGACCGAAACGAGAATTTTTTTGCGGTAATTATATTCAAAACATTTACTGAATTCATTGTATATCGTCATTATTATATGTTTATGAGGTACAGTGACTTACACCATATCTCATATTCTCATGTTTCTATCTAGGACTTCTGTTTTTCTTAAAGTCTAATTCTGTAGATTTTAAAATTTATAGAAACCATGAAACAAATGGAAATTCGCTTGTTCAGTGATGGAATTCCAGTTAAAAGCACAATGGCTCTAACTGAGGGACACTTCAAAGTTGCAGGTCTACTGATGGCCTCAAGTGTTCTGCAAGGTGGTCCAGCTCCTAACTTTTTAGCCAATTGGGTGTATCAGTTTATTTCAGGTGGCCTTGATGCAGTGACCATTCAAGTCAATGATGTAAAAAGAGATTCTCTTAAAGTTGCAGTAGAAAAGGTTAGAATGGGTATATATCAAAACTATTTCTATGAGAATGTCAGCCTATATTTGTAATTTTTTTTCAACCTATTGTAGGAACTAAAATGTGTTGCTTTATTAAATATATTTTTGCTTTTTTTTACTCATGTTAATCAGCATTTTGATTTTAATAGTTTTTTTACCTAGTTTACATGTTAAGTACATAAAGAAATTGAGATAGTGGGTTGATATATAATCAATTATTAATATCAGTAATATCACACATTTTTTAAGATTGCAATTGCCACATCTGATAGTGAGCTGCAAGAAATTCTGCTCGGAGATGAAGTGATGGCTGAGTTAGATGGAATAGGTTATAGAAGAATTCCAACCAGAGAAAGTGTTAAGAACAAGGAAAATCTAATAAGGTAGTCAAAATTTGCTATGTTTGCAATTATTATGATCAAGCCTTTTTCTTTCCCTTCATACTCCAGTGTTTAGACACATTCATATGAATTTATGGATAACTTATTGGGATCAAAACCCATCCATTATTTTCGTTTCAATAATAAATATTGTGATTAAATGCTAAAATTCATCAATTATTAGATGCATTTGTGTGAATGAGGCTGTGGTCCCAAAGATACCAATGCTTAACCAATTAGGAGAAGGTTTGGAACAGTATGGGCTGTTACATGAAATTCGAAAATACCCAGAATTATTCAAACCAATATTTACAGCAAATAGCAGCTTTGATATCACAGCTGATGACCTCATCCAGCGATTAGTTGTACATTTTAGTGAACAACAGCTTTTGAAATCAAAAGAACAGGACATATTCAAATACTTTACAGATTTCATCCAGACTTTGTACTATGAAGGTATCATTTGACATTTTAACTAACTACAATACAACAATTCCCAAAAGACTATTTCTAATTTTCTTTACTGTAGGTATATGTGAGGCTCCAGACTTGAAACTGAAGGATGTGTTGAAATTTATTACTGGTTGTGAATCTATTCCACCCATTGGTTTTCCTTGCTCTCTTAATGTCCATTTCAGGCATGATTGCCCCAGTGGTTGCAAGTGTAGACCAACAGCATCTACTTGTGCTTTGGTGATAATACTACCAATTCATTCATGCTCATCTCAAGAACTTGGTGACCTTCTTATCTCTGCCCTGTGCGACTGTTGTGGCTTTGGAAATCTTTAGATTCCTGCTGAATTGCAATCTAACTTTATTAACAGCTGGCTTGAAAATTGTAACAAGAATAATAAAAGCATGACATTTGGCAAATTTTTGGGGAGCTGGCAAAATAGCATTGTTCTAAATGTCATGCAAAGGAATTTTTTTATTTATGCATCTTTGTTATAGCTAATGAGTTGCTGGAAAAATATATTAAAGTTGCTGATTTACTGAACTAATTTTCCCAAGGCATTTTGTATACCTGCACTGACTGCACATGCTTATGATTCTTAAGTCAATACTGCCTAAATATTGCAAGCATTGCCAAATGTTATGCTTTTATTAGGGGTGACATCCATACTTGTACTGCACCTACCCATGGTAGTAGCATGGTAGTATGAGTATAGATGTCACCCTCATTCAGTTTTAAATTTCATACTAAGTTATTAAGTTACTAAACAAATGGCAACTATTGTTTATTAATGTTATTGTTGGTGTTCATTTGTGCATGTCTTTACTGCACATTTTATGTTTCAGTTGTTTATATTTACAAAAGGTCTTTTCTCTAAGATTGACAACTGTTGTCTATTCAAGGAGTATTCCTATTACCATGTTGTGTTTAGAGTTCAGACAGAGCCAAATACATTTCATGTGTCAGCTTAACTAAATGGCTTGCTTGCTTCTGTTTGCCTATTTCCAATATGTATTTCTCATAAAGCAATATTCTTGTCACTAATCTATTTCTTGTTGGAACTCTTCTACAAGGTTTATAGATCTCTTATACAGGGTGATTCCAAAGTTTCCATCCTCATTTAGTGGGTCTACATGACTATGGAGGAATACTTCCTCTTCCTCAGAGAGTTCAACAAGAGATCTTGGTACAACCACATGATTATTTGTTTGCAATTGTGGGGTAGGCCCATCATCATCCACACCATACTCATTGAAGTTGACTGTTTCAAAATCCAAAACATCTCGAACTGCTCTGTAGTCAGACTCAGCAAATTCATAAAAACCTGCTGTCCAAAGTTGTAATGGACTCTGATTTCCCTCGGTTCTGATGGGATGATGATTCCATTGGGCTATAAAGCATTCAAGTGCCCGGTTCACTCTTGGCATGAAGACATATTGTAAAGCAAACATATGAATTTCATTGTCTGTATCAAGGTCACCATTTGCCTCAAGGAAATAGAAAAGATTATGGTAATGTTGCAGCACATATGTGAAGACATCCTTCCACAACCGTTCAATCCTCTGATTGTGGACCGATCTGCCTGTAATAACAGGATTGGATTGTATGTTGTACTTCTGCAACATGTATCTTGCAACTTCCACATTTTCTGTTCCATGATCTGTGCGTATACGACGAGGAAAGTGAAATTTTCTAGTACCATGCAAAAACTGTTCCAAGACAGTTACAGCCTCATTGTTATTAGAGCATTGGAGGAACACAACTGCTCTGGAATACCCATCTATACCTCCATGAATCACCATTCTCCATCGTATGAGCTTATGATTCCCATCCAAATGCCTATGAGTAAACATTGCATTTATATTGGTAAATAAGTAAAATAACTAGTAATTGTGTATCCCTTATCTGGTCACCAAAAGCAAATTGCATTGATTGTATATTAGATGATATTCACTTGTATTTTGATTATGAAATTCTTCCCAGTAATTGGAGGGTAAAAAACAGAAACCCATTGTTACACAAACAACTATTTCCAACACTCCCAAATTATTTCTCCTTGAATTCTTAGCATTGGGAATCCCAATGCTAATAATTCCAGGAATAACAACTGGCATTGCAAATTGTGCTTAAACATTCTCCCATATTACATTTACACCTTTACCCACATACCATAGTGCATTTGGAGTGGGGACATTATAAACTCTTCTTTTGATTGAGGTATGTCTTCGAAGCATTCGATTCACTGGATCGACACGGAAAATTGATGCACGGACTCTCTCCCTTTTAACTTTAAGATTCTTTGCAGTAAGTGCGCCCATAACCATTCTTTCTCCTGAGTTTGGTGATGAAGTGAGAATAGATGAAATTTTCTCGTCCAATTCTTCATCTGTAATACAAGTATAAGTGTCCTCCCCAACTGGTAAAGAGAGTTCATGTCTTCGACGTAAAATCGTTTTCACAGACACACCAAGCATATCTGAAATTGCTTTCCATGTGAAGTTCAGTGAACGTAGACCAACAAGCTGGGCACGGGGTATTAAAAATTTTGGACGTCCTTTCCCAGAATTTTGTCGCTTATCTATTGGGCACACATATTGTAAATCGTCTCTACCAAAGCCATCAAAACGTTCTTCATAAATACACTTCATGCGCTGAAATTCATTGATTAGTGAACAAAAGTCGTTGACTATTTCTTCAGTGAAAGCGACATTCCTTGAAATTGTGACGAGCCCTTCAATGAAGGCAGAACATCGATTATGAAGAACTATAACAACTATTGTTCCAAAAAAAGTATATTATTCTCTTTGAAAAGGTGTAGTTTTTGTAAGATAAGTTTTAAATCCTTTGGAAAGTTCTATATGCGCACATTTATAGGTGTAATTTTCAAAAACAAGTCATGTATTTTAAAGGAAGTATTTTTGTCCCGTCTGGCGCGCCATACGAATTGGCGCCTGCGATAATATGTCGGCAGTGAATGAAGGAAGATGACACTTCATGTCGTTTTGCATAGAATGTGTTTAATATTTAACTAAAAGCAAATCCAATAGCGGGCTACCTGTGGTTAAACGCGGAAAAGCAGACGAATTTAAACGCTTGCGTTACCAATTTTGTATTTTAAATTTATTGGTTAATGGTTCTCAGGCCTCAAAACTAAGCGTTCAAACCTTGACATGTAAAAAATACGGAAATGAGTCCAAACAGAGTTAGAAAACCAAACCAATGCATCGTAATGGTTCAATCTGCAAATGAATGATAGGATTTATCAGATATTATAATTTACTGAGACCGAGATTAATTGCCTCGCTAAGCCGGAAAATTGTGTTCATATACGGTAAAACACTATTGCAGTCGCGAGGACTCGCCTGCATGTCATTTAGCAAGATACCGGTAAACAGGAGAACTTTTTCTCTCATATATGACTCGGCATAACTTTTTATATTATTTGATGAAAACTTTCTAGCAATTTTTCTGAGGGGGCAAATCCAGGATGAATTAAATTGGGAAGATCCAGCATGAATTGAATTTTTACTCTTGCTACTGCCCCCCCTTCTCTCATAATAGCGAGCTTTAGCAGTGACTACGAGTACGACTACGAGTACGAGATTCGTCATTCTCGCGCGTTGTTTGCTTACGCCATCAGCCAAAACTCGTAGTCGTTGGGCTTTCGAGTACGAAGTTTATCAAAAAACTCGTACTCAAATGCCCGGCGACTACGAGTTTTGACTGATGGCGTAAGCAAACAACGCGCGAGAATGACGAATCTCGTAGTCGTAGTCGTAGTCACTGCTAAAGCTCCCTAATGGGTGGTGCATGACAGCATGTGCATGTTTCGTCAACGTCGCCATGTTGAATTATTTAAAACCTTTTTTCCTTTTTTGCAATTCAAATGTCATCCAACATGGCGAAAATCTCTTTGTCTTATAGGTCTCACGAGTCACGAGAATAGTTGCACACCACCTATTTCGAGAATGGTCTTAAAAATATACGAAAAATTGACTCGTAAAATTGATTAAAATATAATGTAAAAGATGCCTTCGGATAAAAAAACTTTCATTCAAATGAAGGGTAAAAAAATCTACGATTTTGGAGCATTTTTGAATTTTGGAGTGCTGTTGAACAGGTAAATGGGTAGATTTTGTATTTTAAAGCATGCAAGTATTTTGTATAAAGTTTAATATGTGGATTTATCAACAAATGTATGACACCTCTTTGAATTTATTCGTCAATTTCGTTGAAATGATTTTGATTTGGAAAGTATTTATTTTAAAGGTGAATCTGTTTAAAAAGTAATTGAAATTTCGCTCAAAATTGTAGTATTTAAAACTATTCGTAGCACAATTTATTAAAATTATATGATTATAGTCTAATTTGATAGCTCGAGAGTCGACTTTGTAATTGTACCAAGATATAGGATTTTGTTTACGACTTCGATCATTCAGCAGAAACGAGCATTATAGCATTTCAGTGATGGAAATATTATTTCAAATATATATGATTATTGCTTCAGGCGAGGGGACTTTGCATGCAATGTATTTCTAGTATATATATATATATACACCCATTTGCAAAAACGTTGGCCGCAGATAGATAGATAGATACTCGAAATTTAATTAGAAATGCATATGTTGTGTAATATGATTGAAATCCCATGCAAATGTAATCATATGCAATTCTAATTAGACTTCGAGTATCTATCTATCTATCTACCGTATGCGGTATACCTTAGGTTGCTATACCCGACCTGGACCGCTAATATTTCAGAGACATGGTATTTTTGATAATAATTCAATCATAACTTTAAACTAGAACTGATTAAGGTCATGCTATAGCTCGTTTGAAGACAACCTCGCAGTCTAGCTAGTATTGGTAACCTGATGGATGAGGCAATTGTTCATATACAACATAATAGTAGAAATATTTACTGCTATCGTAAATTGTTTTTGATACATCTTTCGTCCTTGAGGCGTATATTATATATATTTAGGCAAATTCCTAATAGCTATAGACGTGCATGGCCAATAAAGTTTGACAAGCGCTAGCGACGTGAATGTTAGATTATCATTGACAATGTTAACGATCGCCCTCGCATAAGTTTATTGTATCCAATATAGGACAATATATGACATTTCAAGTGAACTTCAAATGTCATGCATGCAGTCTGAATTACAAAATTTCATAATAAGCATACCATGTATTATATTCAAGCATATTTCCTTGACTAGAACTGATCAAGTTTGGCTCTGGCTAGTTTCATTCTTGATTTACTTCCTGGTTGATATAACCATGACTCACTGAGCATAACGACAGTCCAGAATTCCTTGATTATTGTTTAGAAATTCCTTGATAGTTTCTACAGGGTGCATTTAAAAAAACTGCAACACTTATGTAATATTCATAAATATTCTCAGTAACAAAATATCGTAGGCCTCTGGAAACTATTAAGGTTGCGTTTTTTATACACCTTATAGGGCGTATTACCAATTTACACAACATGTCAGGCTGGTTGGATTGCTAAGGCCTAGTTCATACGTCGCATTTTGGTCGCGTCGAATGCAATTCAAACAATAGATAATGAAATGATAAACCTCATTAAGCTTCATTATATCCATGTCATCTTTTGTTTGAATGCATTCGACGGGACCAAAGTTCGACGTATGAACTAGGCCTAAGTGAAACCAGAACGGTTCAAAATCAATTTTAGGCATTTTTCACTCCAGCCAGTTTCCAATTTGACCTGCTTGACGATGACCCACCAAACCTGAAAAATTTTGTTCAAATGTGAAGTGTGTTCAAATTATCTTGCAGTCACCGAGTCCGAGGTCTCTTGTTTCGACGAGCGAAACATCCAAAGGGGTTAGCGGCATTGAACTGTTTGAAGTTGTTTTATTATCAGGTGATACCTCAACTATACACCACATTCACATGGAATACTAATATTTAATAGGCACCAGGCTCGCAGTAACTAAAGCTCGCCGCACACGAGAGTTGTCAGCTGAGCTAACGACCTCGCGAGGCAGTTAGCTCAGCCCGAAAATCATCCGCACACGAGAAAAACGTGCCTCTCTAAGCGAATTCCTCACGAAAACTATCCACACACGAGAGAAACTTACTGAGCTAACAGCCACGCGAGGTCTCGTGTGGGGCGGAAGTCCCGCTTAGCCAAGATTCAACGAAGCGTATGACGACTTTGAGGTATTGAAATAAGCCTTGATGAAACCAAACAAGAACATTTTATTGTCAGAATGACGATAATACCAATTAATTTTAGTCACTTTCCTCCTTATATAATCGATACATCTTTATACGTGCATCAGGCGTATATTATACATATTTAGTTCTTAATACTAGGTATTAGTATACACCCGACTATTGTCTATTACAAATCCTACATTCTGATTGGCTACTCAACCATTGTCTATTCGTGATGGTAAACGTTTGGGAAAAATTCGCTCGCGCGACCGTATAAACTTGAATTAATTAAATTATTTTTCGGTGTAATTGCGGTGTATCGATTATTTTCTCGAAATTAACATATCTAGGTACAGGGTGTATACTAAAACAATTAGACAACTCGCCTTTGTTGTCTATGAGCGAATAGTGAACTCCGGTTACGCCTTCGTTGACTATTCGCTCATAGACAACTCGGACTCGTTGTCTAATATTTGTTAAATGGTAGACGTCGTCAATAAAGTCAGACAAGACTAGAGCTAGTGACGTGAATGTTAGACTAGCGATGACAATATCAACGAACGCTTTTAAAATAGCTTATCTTAACCAACACATTTCAAGTGAACTTCAAATATCATGCCGTCCTGAAATACAAAGTTTTATAATAACGTACCATTTATTAAACCATATTATCTTGGACTGGAATTGATCAAGTTTGGCTCCGATTAGTTTTTTCTTCGTTCACTTCCTGGTTGATATATTAAAGCACGATTGAGTATTTACAGAGCATTACGACAGTCCAGAATTCCTTGTTAAAATTCCTAAGGAAAGGACTCAAACGAGGAGTAATTACCAATGCTGTATTTCAAGACAAACCCAAAACAAAAAGGAAAGAGGAATCCCCCCTAACGTGATTCTTTCACTAATATATGCTAACATAAATTATAATAATATGGCGTAGGGCATTTTACGTAATATACAGTGGTTACAATTACCATTTACACAGTTCTGCATGACCTGACAGGATTGCTAAATGAGTTTGGCACGATTCAAAACCAGGTCGGATTTCGGGAGATTTTCACTATTTCACTCAAACTAGTTCTTATTTTATCTTCTTAACCCGACATAATTATAAATGGTGAGAGCAATGATTACACTAAATTTGCAGGCAGGAAAAGCTTCAGCTCCCTCTTACTGCATAGGATTACGGGCCAAAAAGCTTGGACAGTAATATTCAACTGTTCAAGTTAAAGATTGATAGCTGTTTTCCACTTCTCTCGTTTTGTTCAACTCGGCATAATTTGACTCATCGTCATTTTTACCGTCATTTCTTGCAGCATTCACCCTCAATGACTGATAATTGTCTTCTTTATTCATCTTTGTAAGATCCAGTTCTTGATAAGTTGTATCAACAGGAAATTTTGAAGGTTCTGAGTTTGTTAGTTTTCTACTTTTACGAACACGGAAGACAACGAAGGAAAGAATAATACCAATGATGATTCCAGACACCAAAGTCACGACGATGATATACCATTCAGTTCCACCACTACAATCTTCTGGACCTGAATTATCACCTTTCAGAGGCGTCGGGGTGGTCATATGGGTACAGGTAGGGATACAGGTAGTCGTATGTATAGGAATACATGTGGTAGTGCAGGCAGTGCTCGATATTGTTGTTTGATTTTTTGACGGCGTTATTGCTTCTGTTTGTTGTTACCATTTTTCACCATAGATGAATAAAAAATGAAAGAATTAATACGGTCGTAGACGGAGATATCAAGCACACTGAGAAAAGATGGTGTCTCGTTTTAGCTATAGAAAATAAATTCCCTTTTGAAATCATTTTAATCTCGCTCTTAACTCTTTATGCATGAAATATCCATAGCCGCGTTACAGTATTACCTGTTACTGAAGATGATACTTGACGAGATGGCGTTATTTCTGATGTTATTATGGTTGCTGATGTCATTATCGTTGGTGATGGCGGTCCTGTTAGTTCCGTAATAAACGAAAGAAAGCGGAATAATTAAAACATTTACAAAAAAATCTCATTATAAAAAGATCCAATACAAGGACCTATATATAACCATGCATAGCGTTGTTGATAAAAATAATTTAACTATATTATAATTAGCTAACTGTTGTAGTTAACTTTTAAAGTAGAAATCATTACGGGATCCTTAATTTCTCTCATCACTTTCAGTCGATTTAATGTACTGTAATATAATGTAATTTAGGAACTCATAGAGAATTTTTGGGGGGAGGGGGGCGATCATTTTTTTCTTCAGGGAGACCCAAAATGCGCCCAAGGTCGATTCGATACCGGCGCTTATCAGCCGCAATTTAACAACTTAAGCGTGATCAATTTTTCGAGATTTTATTAATTTAGGTTTTTCCTCGGTCTTAATGAAAAACCGATAGACCGATATTACAATGACATATATACTGCATTACTTTATCGGGATAAAAACCCCAAACTTATTCTCTCTTTCTTTGCAAAGTATAAGAGAATATAAAAGAGAATATAAAATAAACTATATTCTTGTAGTATATTTTGGGGAAAATTGTTGTTCCTAAAATGTCATATTTCCTTCCGCTCGTACCTAATTTTTTTTTACGATGACAGAAATAGTGAAGAAAGGCGTCAAAAGGGATAAAAACTTAATCTTACCTATAACAGTTAAATTGGCGGAGTCTGAGTCGTTTCCAAGTTTATTGGTTGCTACGCACTCATATGTTCCATTGTGATGGTAGTCCACGTTTTTTATGATAAACGTCCCACCGTCGTTTATCTTGGAACCATTATGGAATATGGCATAACTCGGTTCAGGAAGACCACCAGATTTACACGTGATCTCGACTAATGAACCAACTTCAGCTACTTCAGGTTTGATCGTTATGTTTGTATCCTTAGGTTTATCTGTAAAGAAACAAAATCTGTTTGTTATGAATGCATACAATTTTATCTAATTGCACAGTTCAGAAACCCTTGATATGTAATTTTGACCGTAAATTGCATCGTGGTGTAGTGGAACCTCTTAGAACCCTCATTTTTTCCACGCCTTATATTTATTTACCCAGAAACAAAAAGAACACACGTACTGATTAAATTTTTGTTAACTTTCACTTTTGATAGAGTATAAAATAGCATGAAAAATACATGTTATGTATAAAGCATTGTTTTTAAAGAAATAAAGAAGGCAATAAATAAAACACGTTGTTGATATTACGAGATGGCAGCTGTTCTAGTAAGGTCATTTTGGAAGTTTCAACCCTGTGACCGCGTGCACACATGATCACTATGTTTTGTTCGCGTAATTGTACTTATAATATAACTACTCACTGCATGTATATGATCATGAGCTATTCTGCAATCTGATTAGTCAAGACACTCGCTGGATATCAGTTCACACATGGTGAGTAGCAAAAACAAAATGCCCGACAGTTTGCTTATAGGAGTGGAAAGAATTTAAAACACTTTTTAAAAGTTTAGATATCCCAGAGATTTAAAACATATTAACAAAATATAAAAATATTTAGGGGTAAGACTGACTTTTTGTTCATGAAAACGGGATTTTGAATTCAATTTAACATGTTAACATTCAGCGAAAAATTGTCTGAAATTAATTCAACAGCCGACCTATAGTTAAATTTCTTATTTCGCTGATAGACGTACAACGTCGGCTCATATATACGGTTCGAGCTCGTGATATTAATTGTTAAATATTTATTTCCTAACTTTTGATCTGGCATTTTGTTGCCAGGTTTGTGTATTCCGCTACCTAAAGTTACAATGAAACCTATTTGTTTTGCTAAATGTTTACTCTTAACGAGTTGTTTGAAAGACAAGAATATGCTAAAAATTCATATCTATAACATACGTGACAACCTTAACGCAAAATTAAATATACATATATTTAATGTTTTAACTCACGCCGTATTATACCGTATCCACTTACAATTAAGTCTGACGTTTACTTCAACTGACTTCATTCTCGTTACATTGACGTGGCTTTGTGCTTTGCACGTGTAATTTCCAATGTGTGTTTCATTTACATTTGTAAGATTCAATGATTGTTCTCCTTTTTCTGTCTCACCAACTTGGACGTCATTTTTATCATACCAGGTAACATCAGGAGTTGGTCTGCCACCCTCTGCTTTACATAAACACGTGAAATTATCACCTTCGTTTACTGTGCTGGGATTAGGACAACTGAATGTGATAGTTGGAGCAACTGAAATATAACGATATATTATTATTAGAACATGCAGAGGTAGCTACACAAGTAAAAACCAGAATGATTGGAGGGAAGTGTGCTGACTATGGGTTTGACGTCATGTCCTATCTTACAAATACACAACAAAAAGTCGCTTTCTTGTTTTGAGGAAAAAAAATTCTTTTTTCAAGAAAACAATATTTTTCTTAGATTGTATATTTGTTCTCAGTTGAATTCATTCTTAGGAATAAATTACTTTTAAAATTAAAACATACCGCACTATAGCTATAAGTGGTTTAAAATTGCGATTTTACTGCCGTATTCGCATTATTGACAACAAGCGGTCGAACCACAAAACTATTAAAAATAAAACAACAAAAAGACTTGCCAACAATAATGACGGTAACTGCAGAATCAGTATTAGACGCTTTTGCTACAACAGCAAACTTGTATACTCCATCATGATGACGTCCAACGTTCTTTAAAACCAATGTTGAAGGTTTTTGTACAGCGAACGTTGGAACGTTGGTGACTATTGCAACGCTATCATTAAAACTTATTGTTGCAAGCGTTGTTGTGCGGTTGGTAGGGTAAGTGCTCGTAAATGCCCAAGACCGAAAAAACACATCAGATATTTTATCATTAAACGTCCACTCTATTTTTGCAGTTGATCCAGGTAACAAAATCATCTTGTTTCCACTTGATGGTGGAGATACATCTCCTAAAAACATCGAGAGTTTTCCCAGCATCAATTTTAACAGTTTTATAGCAGAAATTAAAGTGTTTTCATGTCGCAGTATAATAAGTTAAACAAAATAGCCGTTTCAGGAAATGAAAAACTGTGGTCCTTTATTTTCACCTGAAAACTTTAAACTAAGGGTACAAACCTTTGCATGTAAAAAACAAGCAAATGAGTCCAAACAGAGATAGAAAATGAGACCAAGACATCACAATTGTTCAATCTGCAAAAGGGTGATATAAATAAAGATTAATCAGAAATTATATTTTACCGTGCAAAAAATGAAATGAGGGCCTACACGCCTTTGCGATTCCTATATACTTTTACATATATGCATATATATATATATATATAGGTTCGTTTTCTAATACATATTCCTTTGATCTTATAACTAACAATCAACATGTGTTATACATATATAATGTATAAACATAAACAATAAGCTTTTTCACCATGACGAATACCTGCTATTTTTTGACTGAATACTGTACCTTCAGTTTCTTTAAAAAATTATAACAATTTTTAAGCATCTTTTAAGAATCAGCAGACCATTTATAGAATAAACTTAGTCTAAAATTAAAAAAGTATCCCCCTAAACTGCGGCATATTTGTCTTCTTTGGAAAGGCCATGACACTTTTACGGCCTGTTCATAATATGGATGAGATGGGCCAGCCCCAGGCTAGCTCGGCAGTGCCGGGATCTCGCTTCACATATTATTTCACTTTATAATATAACATTTATAGTACGCGCGTGCTGATTGGTCGAGAAGCGTGTTTCTACACCTGTATAGAAACATGAGAATTTTCCCGCTAAACTTGACAAGCAAAGTAATGTAATGAGAATTTGTAATTGAATCGAATTATAATTTTTGTACAAAATCTTTCTATCGAGTTATATCATAAAAGAAATAGAAACCAATTTTCCGTTTCCCTGTGTTTTTATACAGTGATAGAAACACTTGTGGAAGTTAGGGAAAACTCGAAATAACGTGAACTCGCCCTACGGGCTTATTTTCCTACTGATTATTTTCTCGTTCTCCCAAACTCCCACGCGTGTTTCTTAACTGTATAGAAACACAGAAAATGTTTTCTATTTCTTAAACGTTTGTAAAATTGCATTCATATGAAACCGGGCCAGCCCGGCTCTAGCGAGATCCCGCCTGAACGAAGCGAGATCTCGCCTTTAACGAGCTCATATGAAAGACAAGCTCGTGGCCTATATAGCTGGTATCTGAACTTTAAATGAGGGCCTAACCTGAAAAGCCTGTTAATGTTTCTAGTAGGTCTCTAGCCCAAATTAGATGACATTGTATATCAGTATTGGTAACCTGATAGATGCAATGATATATAGGCAATTATTGGTTCATATAATATATAGCTTTCCTCCTTATACAAACGATACATCTTTACATCATTCAGGCGTATATTGTACATATTTAGTCAATATTCTTAATAGCTAAATAGGTGATCGTAGACGTAGTCAATAAAGTCAGACAAAAGCTAGTGACTTGAATGTTAGACTAGCGATGACAATGTCAACGAACGCTCTTATATATAAGCCTAATTTTATCCCAAATATGCATTTCAAGTGAACGAAGACCTAAAATACAAAGTTTCATAATAACATACCGCTTATTCAACCATATAGCTATATTTCCTTGGACTAGAACTGATCAACTGGCTCTGGCTAGTTTCATTCTTGATTCACTTCCTGCATCGTTGATATAAGTTCATACTGTATAACCGGGTATTTACAGGGTATAACGACAGTACCGAATTCCTTGTTATTTTTCCGGAAATTCCTTGATAGATTCTGTAAGGCACGAGCGTTCAAAGGCGGTTTGAAGCGCGCATGCTATGATGGGTTGATGAAGGCTCAGAATTGTACCCGCGGTTTAGCATGTTGTGAAAAGCCTCTAGATGACGGTCAGAAATAGTCAGAAACCTATCAAAGGCACAGAGCGAACTCATAACAAATTGCTTATATATATACATATATATATATATATATATATATATATATATATATATATATATATATATATATATATATATATATACGAATAATATATACCTACAAGCTAATTTACTATGCAAACCTACAAGAATATTATTCATTAGAGACAAAAATAGCATATGAAATATACAAATCTGGTTATTTGGAACGGCAATGAAACGTTGACATGGAAACATCAAACCTTGACATGGAGACAACACACAAATGAATTCAAACAAAATCAGAAAACCAAACCAAGTCATCATGAACACAAAACCTGCGAAGGAATAATAAAAAATGTCAGGAAATATTAATGACCGTTTTTGTACAGGACTATACAAGCAGATAGAGGAACCGTATCAGGTTTAATTATTCGGTCGAGTACTCGTATTAGTATAGTTCAGATTTGTTTACAACCTTAATTTTAGAAAACCGCATTACTGATATGTATATATATATATATATATATATATATATATATATATATATATATATATATATATATATATATATATATATATATATATATATATATATATATATATATATACATCATTACCATTACCTATAGTCGACCGTGCTTTCAAACTTAGCTCATGACCTTACCTTTGCTAAATTTTCGAATAACAATCACAATGACACTGTGTCAATCGTCCAACATTTGATAGGTAAATATAGTCAGAGAACAGGTTATAAACCTCACAGACCCGGAAGCGTTTCGGCAACGCGAAGCGATTTCCAGTTTCCGCATAAGTCCAATTTCCATACGCAAAGAAACTTTTATCCTATTATAATATCCTCGAGAGTCAATTAACGATAGTACATTTTGGCTGCTTTGGTGTCCATAGTTTCCAAAATTTGCTGTTAGAAGTAATTTGCTACTCTCGTATGTAACAGGAATCGTAACAATCAATATAATCTTTTATTGTACACTAGCGGTCAAAAAGAACTGTTTAGATACAAATTCATAAAGAAGAAGCGAACATAGGAGAGAGCTTCATAGGCATTTTGGATAATTCTCTTATTCCAAGCAATATTTCAATAATTTAATGCAACGTGCCACACTTCCAAGATATAGTCAAACAATGGTTAAGATTACTACCTTAACAGAAAGTATGCCACGCCGGTGTAAGGCCGTTATCAATTATAAGGCCTAGGGAGGGTCAACAAAATATTAATATTTTATATAGCTTAGCATGTAATCTAGTCTATATTTACTCGTATATATTGTTAGAGGGACAGTTACATTCATTTGAGAGCATTTCTTTGAGCAGTTCTTTGAGCAGTTCTTTTTGACCGCCAGTGCATGTATATAAAATATAAGATTATAGGACGAGCCCTTTATGATATCATGAATTATCAGGGCGAATTAAGTTAAGCTAAAGAAATAGGTCATTTGACTCTTTTCCCATCTCATTTCACGCCACAAGTGTTTTTCTTTCCAGTTGCTCCATTTTTCTTCTTCATTCAATAAAGGATCCAAAGCTCTGTAGATCAGAAATACACGTGGTGTTCCTACAAACTGCAATTTAATATTACTGAAATTTGAACAGAAACATCACAATGATAATGATAAAAAAATTAACAGCTTCGCATAATAAAAGATTTGTGATGCCAGTAAGACAATGTGATGCCAGTCACGCACTGGTCGTATATTTTGTAACTCAAATGTTCCAGTTTTAAGTTAAAGATTGATAGTTGTTTTCCACTTCACTTGTTTTGTTCAACTCTGCATAATTTGACTCATCGTCATTCACACCGTCATTTCACCAGCATCCACTTTCAATGATTGATAATTATCTTCTTTGTTCATTTTTGTAAGATCCAGTTCTTGATAAGTTGAATCAACTTGAGATTTTGGAGGTTCAGGGTTTAAATTGGCTTTCCCACTTTTGAATTTACGACGAGAATATAGGACAATGTAACAAAAAATAATTCCAGCGATAAATCCAGACGCTAATATTACCAGAATGATATACCATTCAGTTTTACAGTTACATTCTCCTGAAATTTTCCCTAAAATGAATACGGCCAATTTAATCACAGTTCCTGTATTAATAATAATATATAGCACTATATAACTTTACAAATCTTACATGTTTACAAGACCAAGCTCCTTGCTTGTGCTCAATACTGCTGTTTTTCCTTCGCTGGTGTGGGGGGTTTGTGGCTTTGTTGCTGGTGATTTTTGTAGAGTCAGTGAAGCCATCGCTATGGGAATTGGTCCTAAAATTTGATAAAATTTGTGTGAGAGTCTCCTATATGTAGACCTATTATAAGCTCAGTTTTTTTACCAGATACTAGTAGTTACTAGATAAAAAATCACGATATTTGCATATTTATGCTAGTATAATTGTGATTTGTCCGTCTTCTATGATGTAATGTCTATTTACGATATTGGCAAGTTAAAATAATTATGTTATGTAGTCCCTTCAGAGTTTGGCATTTTTGCGGGTCGCTATATTATTTATCGTACAAGTTGTATCTTACACAATATATTTGCACATTTGCATAAATACCTGATCCAACAGTTGTTGAAGGCCTGATAGGACTACCAAAAAGCTCATTTCTTGTAATGAACACCGTTGCATTTTCTTCCATCGTAAAGGTAATAAATATAAGGTTTTGTCTTAATGACTGTGTTGCTGGTGCAGCCGTTAGTGTCAGTGATGCCATCGCTATGGAAATTGGTCCTAAAATTTGATAAAATTTATGTCAGTTTCTTCTATATGGGGATACTAGTTTTAAATTTTACAAAAAATTCACGATATTTGCATATTTATATCAGCATAATTGTGATTTGTCTTCTATGACGTCATGTCTATTTACGATATTGGCAAATTAACACAATTATATTATGTAGTCCCTTCGGAGTTTGGTATTTTCAGTGTATATAGTTTTGCGCTTCATTATATTATTTATTGTACAAGTCTTTCACAATATATTTGTATATTTGCACAAATATACCTGATCCACCAGTTGTCGAAGGTGTCGTCGCAGTAGCAGTAAACTCATTTCTTGTATTCAATACCGTTGCCTTTTCTTCCCTCGTAAAGGTAGTTAGGTTTTGTTCTGATGACTGTGTTGCTGGTGTAGCCGTTACGGTCATTGACGACATCGTTATGGATATTGGTCCTAAAATTTTGATGAAATTTATTTTAGTTCCTCCTATACGCCCTATACCTATTGCACTGAAGTCATAATCTACATAATTTATTCCCAGATGAGTTATAAGAGTTATTCTCAGATGCGTCCTTGCCTTGCTAAAATAGCTTTTAGGTAAGGATTTATAAAGCGGACAAAAACAATTAACGGGGCAGAGTTTCTTAACTATAGATAATATTTTTGTATTTTACCAAAAAATCACAATTCTTGCAATTCATCTCTACCTTCTTCTTCCTCTGAAATGTTCAGAGGAAGCACAAATTTTACGAAACGCGTCGGTAAACAACTTTGTCCAAGAAAATTCTCTGCACAGCACGTATAATTTCCAACAAAACTGTTCGTTATTTCATGTATTGTAAATGTCTTGACAGTTGCAACCACAGTTCCGTTGTGAAGTATTTTGTATGTTGGTAGAGGAAGAGCGTCAGCATTGCACGTTAAGTTAACTGATGTTTTAAAATAACTAAATTCCAAACTTATCCCTTCAGGTGGATCTGTCAAACAAATGAAATGTGTCAGTGAAATGAGAAAAATTAATTGTCTTCAATTTTTTAGAATTATCAGATGCGCGTTTGAGTCGTTAGTCGATTCCTTTGACATACAGAATAATCTTTATCTTTCAAAGAGATAACAAGCAAGTGGGAATTTTTAAATATATAAAAACCATAAGAACTAAAAAGGTTTATATTGTTGACCTGTAGGAATTCCTATTAAAAAAAATATTTTAAACTTGGATATAGATAATGAATGAATACATCATAATGTGTAAATTAATCGACCTAAATAGCCACATCCAGATGTGGGTTGTTGTACTCGCGAGAGAGGCGGTTTGCTACACCACAAAAATAATGAATATATAAAAGTATGACTGCATACAGCAGGTTCATTTAAGGTTATATATCCTTTCAAAATTTTAACTTGAACTCTGAGTGCGCAAGGGATGACGGACTAATGCTTACTTACACAGGTTATCTCGGAAATTTGGCTAAGACAGCATAAAAGATTTAGAAAAGAAAACTTACTCATCTCACAGGAAATTTAGTGAATTTACAGTCGCAGCAATAGAAGCATTGCGAGAAGTATTGAGCAATTAATTTGCCTACATTTTTTAGCAATTCACTTGTTTACATATACGGCAATAACCAATCAATAACCCTCACCTTGGATTTTTAATTGAAATTGAATCGACGACTGTAACTGCATGTATAACTATACTACGATTACGAACATGCCAACCCCGGAAGTCGTATTCATCACTTACAATTAACATTTAAGAAAATTTCTGTTTCATTTTTTGCCTTCTCGTGGCTTTTGGCTTCGCACGTGTAGTTTCCACTGTCGCCCTTAATAACGTCTCTAAGACGTAATGTTGCTTCTTCAACGCCAGTGTCCATAGTCTTGTTTTCTTTATACCAAGTAACTTGTGCAGGGGGGTTGCCACCCTCCCCTTTACATACACATGGAAAGTCATCGCTTGTATTCACTGTGGTCACACTGGAACAATTGATCCACACAGATGGTGTAGCTAAACAGTGACATAATTTATGGGACATAATTATATCTTTATTTCATTTAGTTAAAAGCGAAAATATTTCGAATATATGTTCTAATCAGTGGAGGTTATTAGCTATAAATAACTGCATCGCGTATCCAGGTAAATCGCGGTGTTAGGAACTACAAACAGCAATATACGTTATTTTAAATCGAAACTTGCCTGCAATATAAACCGCAATCTCAGAACTGTCGCTGCCTACTGATGTTCCAAGGTTAAATTTGTATGTTCCGTTGTATTTCTCCGTGACGTTGTGTAAAATCAGGGTTGCTGGCGTTTTTACTGATACTCGAGGTAAGCTGCTGTTTAGTATTTCGGGAGGATTAGTTAAAACAATTCTTGCAATTTGTTCTTCTACTGAACCATCACTATTTGTAAAACTCCAAGTCCGATCTATAATGCCAGATGTGGCACCATCATATGACCACTGTATCGTCGCTGTTGATCCGTTCAAAAATGTCAACCTGGTTCCGTCTGATGGTGGATTTATCTTTCCTGGACAAAAACCTTTTCTTAATTAAACGGTTTCCGGAACGAGAGTATTCTTGTGTTTAGGATCAACTCGGATTGTTTACGCACATGTGGGTACAGAGGCAACGGGGGCAGAGTTTCAGAAAAGGGCGCATTTTTTCACCCTAGCAAAACGCAGGTTTGCAGATTCACGGAAGAACGCACTCTCAATAATATTATCGGTTAGTTTTAATACAAAGTGCAGGTATAGTTAAAATTAAAGTCAAATTGTATGTTATTAATACTATGGTTCCGGCAGCGGCGTAGCCTGAACGATGATGATGCCCCCCCCCCAATTATCGATGCTGGCTACGCCACTGGCATTGGGTTCCGGTGGCGCCGCAAATATCAATTCCGTAGACAGTCGTACTCATCATTGTTGGTCGTTCTAATCATTTAACGCGGTCCCAGGTTGTTTAGAACACGCAATGGAGCACGCACACAAACCCGCGGGCTCAATTCTTCGCGAAATTATTTAGCATTGTATTAAGTTATAAGTACTTGCATCATTCGCGAGTTTCACAGTAATAAATGGATGAACTTGTAGATAGAGCTATATTTGACTTACCACTACATGGAAACAGCAAGAAACTGATACCAAATGAAATAACAACACCAAAGCAAGACATTATTTTGAATTTTCAGCCTGAAAGAAAAAAGCGAAAATGCCACATGCCTTTAACATAGGCATCGACTTTTTGTATAACCACACGTAAACGAACCCTTTTCTCGTAATCGGCACCTTATAGACAATAAATTGCAGGGTGGAACATATACAGCGTGTATAAAAAAAATTCGAATACAACTTTGACAGGCTGCTGTGTATAAAATACTAAAGTAAACGAGTGTAATTTTTATATGGCAACAAAGATTAGCTTACTTAGTTTGCGATTATACCGTTCTTATAATGGCCGAGTTATCGTCTTTTAAAAATTGTTGCTCGAAATCAAATTTTTCCGCCGATTGGAATTCGAAGTGAGACCTCCAGACAAAAGAAAATGCAAATTTAATCAATAAATGTTCCTTGTTCCGTGCTTAATTGAGGCATTGTGTTCTTCAAAGCTATCGTTGAACATTGAATAAGCAGAATTTTTGCGATAAATTTGCATTTCAGTTTTCAGTAATAATTAGATTTTGAAGCCCTTTGGAACTAATTAACTTTCAATAAAACAAACGTCCAATTCCCATCGCCGGAAAATTGTGATTTTTATGAACTTTTTTTGGCGAACCAGTACTCCTTCAGTTTTCAACGTGTCATTTGGAAGAGAAATAAATAAACTTCACAATGGTGTAAAAATCAAGCAAATTTGTCAAATATATTTTGAATTATTACACGCAAAATTTCGATTTGAATTTTTTTGATACACCCTGTATATTTAGGCTTTAGAATCATGTTATTTTCATATGCTGACATTGAATGTTATATGCTCCAAATTCATTGATACATGCATGTAAAGTATTTAATACATGACAGTCCTCCTCGAAATATCTTCTTTGTTTATTAGCGACTAATACTCCTATATCTATGTTCCCAATAGTACAAAACGCCAAACTATGGCCAAACCGAAGTTCAATTAATATTTGACGGTGGTTAATACTTGACTATCATTCTTAGATTAGATAGATTGATACATATATGGCCATGGCATTGGTGAATGCGTGCATGGGAAGCTACAACTTAATATTATAGACAACATAGCGTATATTGCTTACCTTTGATCCAAAAATTAGGCTGAGAAAATATTGATTTCAGCGATACCTTTCTTGTGTATCACTATAATAAAAATTCTGTTTAGGTTCAGATCACTTCCTGGTACATTGACGGTGTTTATCGACATCATTTCGTAGCTTCAACCAGTAGCTTAAAAAAAAATCAATTTAGTGAATTCCTTTCAAATTTTAAAATATTTGAAATATTTCAAATTCCTTATAGTAAGTAGTTCAACTAAATTCTTCGGGTCGAAAGACACGAGTCTTATTTTCGTCTTGGTGGGTCGTGTTTCGTGTGGAGCTTTTTGCCTCGTCACTATAGCTGGTGCATCGCCAGATCCACTACTCCACTAATCGAATTTCTTTCTCGTCAATTAACTTTGGATAACAATTAACTTTTATCATATTTCCTATATTACTAAGCAAGTTATTCTCAGTAGAAAAGAGTTACGAACACCAGACACATTTAACGATGGAAATTAGACAACTTTTATATAAACACGATAACCAACCATGCAGGTTCTAACGCTAGAACGATGAAATTGCTTATATTTAGTTGTAAATTGTCTGCCTTGGAGTTGAACCTAGAACAAATAAAACAGTTGCAGTAATAAAAGTTTGGTAGGCTATAAATATAAAACTTCTACGATCTTTTGAAAAAACAGTCACTACTTTGCTTGCCTTTTACTCTACCTTTTATTCGAGTTATCTTAAAGGAATGAGAATTTTAGTTCGCTAAAATGTTTAGCGTATAAATTCATAAATTAAGAAGAACAATACAATTAAACGTGCCCCCCAAAATGCATGAGAATTAAGCGCTTCCCATTTATTTGTTCAGGCCACTCGACTGACTTAAGTGAGTGCCATTGTAGTGTATAGTCGGTCTGTAACCGGGCCATTTTAACCTGGGATTACATACGGTTCGCCGTTTTTTTAAGCGTTAATAATTTAGTGTAAGTAGGGTTACGTTTTTTTCTTCTTACACTAAGAGGTGTTACAGGAAGCTGCATGGTGTAGAGCTACACTTTTCAAGTGTATTGCTACACTCAAATGCCAAATGGTATTTGATTCAGCGCTGGAATTGGTGTTATCCTACAACACTGGAATTGGTGTTATCCTACACCTTTTTGGTGTTGGCACAACACTATATATAGCGAGATTTACATTTTACAGTGTATTTATAAACACACAAAGATATACAAACCCACCATACACAATATTTCTATATATTTTTACTTGATCCATCACTTGTTGTCGGCGTGGTAAGCTTCTTCCCTGTGAATACCGTTGGTTGTGTTTTTATTGTTGGTGATGCCAGCGTTGTGGGAATGTGTCCTAAAATTTTTATGAAATTTATGAAGTCAGACGAGGTCATGCGCATGTAATGACTTGGATGTTATTTATGACAAGTAACGTGAATGTCAACCATCATAAGCTTGTTTTAATTAACCAATATATTTAAAGTGAACTTCAAATGTCATGCAGTCCTAAAATACACGATAATTTCAAAATAACATACCGCTTATTTAACTATTTCCTTGGCCTAGAACTGATCAAGTTAGGCTCCGACTAGTTTCATTCGTGATTCACTTCCTGGTTGGCAACCTTGACTGAGTATTTACAGGGCAAAACCGCAGTCGAAAATTCTTTGATGATTTTATGAAATTCCTTCATAGAAATTTATAGGGCACATTGGACACAGTTCTGATCTTTTAGGATTGCTAAATGAGAGTCCGTATAAATAAAGTCGGGTCCGTTTTCGGTAAGTTTTCACTCTACCTGAGTCCAGCCAGTTTCTATTTGAGAGTAATTATTACACTAAACTCGGTCGATCGTGAGGTAAGAGAAGCTTCAGTACCCTCTTACTGGATATAGGCCTGCTATAAAAATAAATATTAAAATCCATGTTTCAGTTTCCAGATCACTTGAATGTAAATTATACTTACAATATGTCGTGTAAATTTAATCCGATGTTTTATTGGAATTCCACCTTCTGCTTTAGGCACGTTTCATACGCCGTATTTCACATGTGTCGAACACATTATAAAGATGAGTTGGAATGCCTCATGTTGTTTTTAATGTTTCGAAACATAAATAAAATACGGCGTATGAAACTGGCCTTACATGCATGACATTTCGATCCGGACTTATGGATTTTTTTCACGTGGAACTCATGAAGCCAATGGAACAGAGTTGCTCAATGTGTATATTATTTAGCCTAAATTAACCAGGGAGTATTCCAGGGTTATTTTATTAAAGGAGGATGTTCGACTTCTTTTTATAAAAACCAGAGGTCCTCTCTGTAATTATAAAGTAAGGCAACAATCCGTTTTTAACATTTTCTAGCATCATTAACTATATCTTCGGCATAGTCTTCAATCCCACTTGTATCCTGTATTCCAGCTTCATGATTTTAGGTTAAAGACTGATAATTGCTCTCGATATTTCTGACTTTGTTCAACTCGGTATAATTTGACTCATCGTTATTTACACCGTCATTTCTTGCAGCATTCCCACTCAATGATTGATAATTGTCTTCTTTGTTCATTTTCTTAAGATCTAGCTCCTGATAAGTTGAATCTGCTGTCGTTTTTTGCACCTCTGGGGTTCGTTCAGGCTGCGTAAATAACTTACGACGCGAATATGAAACAATGTTGGAAAGAAGAATTCCAATAACAATACCAGACACCAAGGTTATGACAATTATATACCATTCAGTTGTACCGGATTTAACATCTTCTGAAAAATCGAAAATCATAACACTGACTTAAACCTAAACAAATCGTTTTACATTTTTCCGAATTATATCAACTGAACATGACGATTTCACTCAATTCTATTAGCCAATGAAATGTGGTGAAATCAACATTCATACATGCATTCTATTCTTCATATCATGCTTAACGGTTTTAATATTCTTTCTCATAACACCTATATACTCGATATTCTTTCATCAAAATATTACTACTACTTTTAAAGGTACGTTTGGTTACCTGATCTACTTGTTGTAAGATTAATAGACGTCGGGGTTATATTCGTGTTCGCCGATGACCGTGTTGGCAACATCGTTGCAACTTGCTCTTGCATTTCTGCAATTATATGAGATTTTACTAAATCGTCATGAAAATGACAAGGCGGCTTGATACAACAGATCTTAATCTATAGAGACTTGCTTACTACATTACTTAAGTCGTATAAGCTGGTCCTAACAGGAATAATATGTCTATATCAGATGTAGTGTATCTAATAAACATTGGATCCCAAAGGTTTTTTTAACCAAGATTATTTTCGGTGATACAGAAACTGAAAAAGAAAAGTTAACTGATGCGTCGACATAAAATAAACGAATGCATAGGCTATATAATCCTCACCTTCAACAGCAAAAATGGCTAAGGCAGCATCATTTCCCAATTCATTTTTTGCAAAACATTTGTACGTTCCAGCATCATCCCACTTCACCTGACATATGGTATATGTCCTCTCGTTACTGACAACTTTGGTATCATTGTGAAATATGGTAAAACGTGGTTCAGGAAACCTTTCTGACGCACACGTTATGGTTACTGATTTACCAATTTCAACTGATTTTTGAGAAAACCTGATGGCTGTATTCACAGGTTTAACTGAAAGAATGAACAGATTCAGCAAATTGAAGTTTTTTACTGCATGTTACTTAATGGCGAAAACTTTAGCGAACAAGAAAATAGCTGCTTTTAATTTGTTTATCGGTGTAGCAATTATTACATTATATTTAAAAGTAGTAAATTGTAAATATATGCACTATTTTTAAGAATTTTTGCAGCTATATAGTACTATACTCGAGATGTTGTCCATATGTCAACTGAATAAAAAAAAATGCCGAACAATGATATACTTACAAATGTCTGTTATTCTGATGGACTCTTCATCCCGTGCTTTAACGTGACTTTGGCCGACACAAGTGTATCTTCCACTATCCTGCCCGTTAAAATTACGAAGGAATAGTGTTTTAACTTTTACACCTTTTTCACTAATCTGGGTGCCATTTTTATACCAAGTACACTCTGCTGGAGGATTGCCACCTTCACATTTACATTCACATACGACATCATCACCTTCCTTAACGATGAGCGGACTGGAACAATTTACTGTAACATTTGGTTTTGCTAAAAATAAATAAAACGATGTTTATCTAGACTGCGAGTCATCTACATAAAAATTGAACAAGATGATTTCCGGCCTGTATGCATAAAAAATTATATTTTTTGTCATTAATATGAATTAAAACTTTTTCAAGGCAGTCCCTTCAGCCATCACAAAATTTTATACGAGTCCTATCTACTATGAAAAACACCCCATACATGATACATGCAGGCAGTGTATACATTGCAAAGCTATAACATTGTAAGCTATAACATTAAAATATTTAAGTTATAACCTTAAATATTTCGTTCAAAATTTATCACATAGCTATAACATGAAGCTTCGTTAAAATAAATGGCCTTTCTATTAGTATATAATTGTCTCGTTGACGCGATTCATGTCCGTAAATGGGAATTTCACTAACAACCTTTACGCAGCTAGCCTTCGATGGGATGCCTTCCCCATTACTCCCCGTGTATAATCTCTAGGTATACATTTTCTACCCCGTTGGTACGATTATAGAATGCAAAAACATACTGAATACGTTAGCATGCATCATTTCCAAATTGCACATAAAGCTATTAGATTATGATTTTCTTGCCTGCAATATAAACCACAACTTCAGAAGTGCCTCCGCCTAATGTTGCTAAAAGGTTAAATTTATATGTTCCGTTGTATTTCTCTGTGACGTTGTGTAAAATCAGGGTTGCTGGCTTTTTTACTGACACTCGAGGTAAGCTGCTGTTTATCATTTCAGGAGGATTATTCGAAATAATTCTTGCAATTCCTTCTTCTGCTGACCCATCACTACTTGTAAAACTCCAAATTTGAGCTAAAATGTCATATACACCATAATATGACCACTGTATCGTCGCTGTTGATCCGTTTAAAAATGTCAACCTGGTTCCTTCAGGTGGAGGATTTACCCTGCCTAAACAAAACGAAACAATAAACTTGTTTTTATTGATTTTATGCGCTGTAGCTATAATTCAGTTGTCTTTTAATTGCAAACCCTAATTTCAAATTCCAAATCCTATACGGATGCGTCCGCGGACCGCGAGATATGGAAGGGCATATGGTGTCAAGAAGTAATTAAGATAAATCACAATGTACTGAAATCACATCAAGACGGTGCTAACTAATCATGCCACGTGGTAGCCATGCAGGTTGCCCTTGCTTTATGTACAAGAAGACAAGTAAGACTTACCACTACATGAAAAAAGCATGAAACTGAGGCAAAATAAAATAAGAACACCAAAGGCAGACATTCTTTTAATTTTGAAAGCTGGAACAAAAAGAACTTAATATATATAAATAACTACACACAACATTACGTTATAGACCTATTCAATTGCTTTCCATCAGGTACAACACTAAACGTTAACATGACATATATGCACACGTACAAATGACAAAGACTACTATTAACTTGATGGCTGGCCAGGTTGGGTATAACCAGAACAGCTTCAATCCAATTGACGACGATAACGAAAAAAGATAGCTGCATGCACATATTACCACAATGCATTGCGAGCACCAAGCATAAATGACTAACAAAGCATGGGAAAGAAATCACCTGATGATATGAAACTTTAACACAACGAAGAAAATAACGTCCTTTCTTATATCTGTCCTTAAAAAAACTTCAATTCGCTTTTTTAAACGATTTCTGACCGCAGTGCATTCTGGTAAAATGTGCATATCGTCAATTACAACGGGCTGTAATTACATGTTATGTATATGTTAAACATTGACAATGTTTTTAATAGATAATCGTAGACGTAGTCAATAAAGTCAGACGAGGTCATGCGCATGCAATGACTTGGATGTTAGTTATGACAAGTAACGTGAATGTCAACCATCATCAACTTATAAGCTTGTTTTAATTAACCAATACATTTGAAGTGAACTTCAAATGTCATGCAGTCCTGAAATACACGATAATTTCAAAATAACATACCGCTTCTTTAACTATATTTCCTTTGCCTAGAACTGATCAAGTTAGGCTCCGACTAGTTTCATTCGTGATTCACTTCCTGGTTGGCAACTTTGACTGAGTATTTACAGGGCAAAACCGCAGCCAAGAATTCCTTGATGATTTTTTGAAATTCCTTGATAGAAATTTATAGGGCATATTACGTAATATAGAGTGGTTTACATTGACACAGTTCTGATCTTTCAGGATTGCTAAATGAGAGTCTGTAAATAAAGTCGAGTCAGTTTTCGGTAAGTTTTCACTCTACCTGAGTCCAGCCATGCAGTTTCTATTTGACCTGCTTGACCATAATTATTAATGGCGAGAGTTATTATAACACTAAAATCGATCGATTGCGAGGTAAGAAAAGCTTCAGTACTCTCTTACTGGATATAGGCCTGCTAAAAATGAATATTAGAATCCATGTTCCAGTTTCCAGATCACTTGAATGTAAATTATGACAATTATCATAATTACAATTATGTCGTGTAAATTTAATCTGTTTTTTTTATTGGGAGTCCACCTTCTGCTTTAGGCACGTTTCATACGCCGTACGTATTTCACATGTGTCGAACACATTATAAAGATGAGCTGGAATGTCTCATGCAGGTTGTTTTTAATGTTTTGGAACATATATAAAATACGGCGTACTGGAAACTGGCCTTACATGCATGAAATTTCGATCCGGACTTAGGGATTTTTTTCACGCGGAACTCATGGAGCCAATGGAACAGAGTTACTGAATGTGTACATTATCTGGCCTAAACCAGGGAGTATTCCAGGGTTATTTTATTAAGGGAGGATATTCGACTTCTTTTTATAAAAACCAGAGGTCCTCTCTGTAATTATGAAGTAAGGCAACAATCCGTTTCTAACATCTTCTAGCATCATTAACTATATCTTCTGCATAGTCTTCAGTCCCATTTGTATCCTGTATTCCAGCTTTACGATTTTAGGTTAAAGACTGATAATTGCTCTCGATATCCCTGACTTTGTTCAACTCGGTATAATTTGACTCATCGTTATTTACACCATCATTTCTTCCAGCATTCCCACTCAATGATTGATAATTGTCTTCTTTGTTCATTTTCTTAAGATCTAGCTCCTGATAAGTTGAATCTTCTGTCGTTTTTTGCACCTCTGGGGTTCGTTCAGGCTGCGTAAACAACTTACGACGCGAATATGAAACAATGTTGGAAAGAAGAATTCCAATAACAATACCAGACACCAAGGTTATGACAATTATATACCATTCAGTTGTACCGGATTTAACATCTTCTGAAAAATCGAAAATCATAACACAGACTTAAACCTAAACCAATCGTTTTACATTTTTCCGAATTATATCAACTGGACATGACGATTTCACTCAAATCTATTAGCCAATGAAATGTTGTGAAATCAACATTCATACATGCATTCTATTCTTCATATCATGCTTAACGGTTAATATATTCTTCTTATAACACCTATACTCGATATTCTTTTATCAAAATATTACTACTACTTTTACAGATACGTTTGGTTACCTGATCTACTTGTTGAAAGATTAATAGACGTCGGGGTTATATTCGTGTTCGCCAATGACCGTGTTGGCAACATCGTTGCAACTTGCTCTTGCATTTCTGGAATTATTTGAGATTTTTACTAAATCGTCATGAAAATGGCAAGGCGGCTTGATACAACAGATCTTAATCTAGAGACTTGCTTACTACATTACTTAAGTCGCATAAGCTGGTCCTAACAGGAATAATATGTCTATATCAGATGTAGTGTATCTAATATACATTGGATACCCAAAGGTTTTTTTAACCAAGATTATTTTCGGTGATACAGAATCTGAAGGAGAAAAGTTAACTGATGCGTCGACATAAAACAAACGAATGCATAGGCTATATAATCCTCACCTTCAACAGCAAAAATAGCAAAGGCAGCATCATTTCCCAATTCATTTTTTGCAAAACATTTGTACGTTCCAGCATCATCCCACTTCACCTTACATATGGTATATGTCCTGTCGTTACTGACAACTTTGGTATCATTATGAAATATGGTAAAACGTGGTTCAGGAAACCCTTCTGACGCACACGTTATGGTTACTGATTTACCAATTTCAACTGATTTTTGAGAAAACCTGATGACTGTATTCACAGGTTTAACTGAAAGAATGAACAGAGTCAGCAAACTGAAGTTTTTTACTGCATGTTACTTACTAGCGAACAAGCAAATAGCTGCTTTTCATTTGTTTATCGGTGTGGCAATTATTACATTATATTTAAAAGCAGTAAATTGTAAATATATGTACTATTTTTAAGAGTTTTTGCAGCTATATATATAGCTATATATGTATTTCAGTAGTCATATCTAATTTCGAATTCAAAATTTTACAAATGTACTTGAGAACAGTCTATATGTCAACTGAATAAAAAAAATGACAATGATATACTTACAAATGTCTGTTATTCTGATGGACTCTTCATCCCGTGCTTTAACGTGACTTTGGCCGACACAAGTGTATCTTCCACTATCTCGCCCGTTAAAATTACGAAAGATTAATGTGTTTACATCTTTACCTATTTCACTAATCTGGGTGCCATTTTTATACCAAGTACACTCTGCTGGAGGATTGCCACCTTCACATTTACATTCACATACGACATCATCACCTTCCTTAACGATGAGTGGACTGGAACAATTTACTGTAACATTTGGTTTTGCTAAAAAAAAATAAAACGATGTTTATCTATACTGCGAGTTTTCATGTTCATCAAAATTGAAAAGGATGATTTCTTGTATACATATAGCTTTTTTTCCATGAATACATTAATTAAACCTTTTCCAGGGTAGTCCCTTCAGCGACCACTCAATTTTATTACTGCAAGAGTCCTGGTTACTATGAAATACACCACATGCATGCAGACAACTGCAAATCATAAATCTCCATATTGTAAGCTATAGATAGCATTAAAACTAATTAATTAAAACTCTTATATGATGGGCTTGGCGCCCTATCTAAAAGACCGACAGGTGATGGAGTGCATGCAATATGGGAAAGCTACGTGGTCAATGGGCAGCAGCAATTTTAAAACTAACAAGACCGAATACCCATGCAAACCACAAACTGTCAGTTTAAGCGTGACATCCAGAAGACAGAGCTCGTTTAAAGTTGAAAGGTATTTACAGAAGTGTTCTTCTATTTGTTTTCTATAGAATTATATATATATATATATATATATATATATATATATATATATATAATATATTATATATATATATTATATATAATATATATATATATATATATATATATATATATAACCAACAAGTATTCCCACACTGCTCGGTAGCAAAGACATATAGGAAACAATTGTAACTACCACGGCCAGAAGTAAAACTAAAAGATTTTATTAAAAATATACTAAGCTTAAATTTTCGGCCACATGCCGCAGCCTTCTTCAGAAATTCTTCTGAAGAAGGCTGCGGCATGTGGCCGAAAATTTAAGCTTAGTATATTTTTAATAAAATCTTTTAGTTTTACTTCTGGCCGTGGTAGTTACAATTGTTTCCTATATATATATATATATATATATATATATATATATATATATATATATATATATATATATATATATATATATATATATATATATATATAGTATATATATAGAGTAGCTGCGACTATACACAATGGTACCCTCAAAAGTTTTAGTCCTGGGGCACTCATTTGTTCGTCGCCTACAGTGCGATCTGAAACACAAACGGGATATTCGCATGTGCCCAACCTTTAAACTCAAGGGAACAGCGAGAGTTTCTCTACACGGTATAGGGGGTAGAACAGTGGAGAAGATCCGCAAATTTGATTTAGTCGTAGTTTCTCGGTGTGCCCCAGATATTGTTATTCTGGAGATAGGCACAAAAGATTTGTCCACGTTAAGGCCCGAGATTGTCGGTTCACGAATCGACGACTTGGTTGCTCCATAGCTGGATCAATACCGCGTAAAATTAGTATGCGTATGCGGTATGCATGATTTTCTCGCGAAAAAACAACCCTCTTTTTCAAAAGCAGCGTTTAATGCTGAATAATCCATTTTAATCCATCCGTTTAATCCATTTTTATCGAATCGGGCAATATAAATTATATACTGAAGTTTCGGGGGGCCATTCTTCAAGCAATTAAAGTGTTATAAAATTCTGTAGATAACAAGCTGTCCCACGTTACATTTACTTTTCTAACCTTGACAATGGACAAACTTTACTGATGTAGCGCTTTAGCGCCTTTATCTATTCTATCTTTATCTCTTATCTATATGAGAGTTCTCACACTGTGCATGAGTTTTTTGTTGGCCATATGATGACGCGACTCACAAAGTGCATGTCCGCAAATGGGAACCTCACTAACAACCTTAACGCAGCCTTCCATGGGATGCCTTCTCCATTACTTCCCGTGTATAATCTTTACGTAAACATTTTTTACCCCGCTGGTACGATTACAGAATGCAAAAACAACTGCATAATGCCATGCATCATTTCCTAGCTAGTGTTATACGATCAATAACAGAATTTTTTCATCGAAACTTGCCTGCAATATAAACCACAACTTCAGAAATGCCACCGCCTGTTGCTCCGAGATTAAATTTGTATGTTCCATCGTATATCTCAGTGACGTTGTGTAAAATCAGGGTTGCTGGCGGTTTTACTGACACTCGAGGTAAGCTGCCGTTTTGTATTTGAGGAGGATTATTAAAAATAATTGTTGCAATTCTTTCTTCTGCTGACCCGTCGCTACTTTTGAAACTCCAAATCCGAGAAACAATATCAGTCGCATCAGCATATGTCCACTGTAATCTCGCAGTTGATCCCTTAGAAAATACGAACCTGGTCCTACCAGATGGTGGATATATCTTTCCTAAACAAAAAATTATCATTTTTAAAGTCGTTTATTTGGAAATTAGAGGGTTTATGTGTATCATAAATCGAGTTGTGAGCGCTTGCAGAAATGTATTTTTCACCCTTCATGCATGCATGGGGAAGAAGTTAACCTTTTATATACGTCTGCACGCAGGCTAGTATTATTTGGACGCAGTATACAAGCGTGCAGGGAAAAGAGATAACTATATATAGATTGGAAGTTCTCGCGTTTTTTTAATATATTTTGTAGGTAGGGTAGGGCTTTCGACAAATAATATGGCGGTAATTCAAGCCAAATCTGATTATGGGAATCAGTGACAATGAAAACCGCCAGTTGCACAACACATTCACGTCATAACATACGAGTTCTGGAGAATCTTTATACATTTAACTGCATGTTAGGGTTCCTGAGAATTGCTACACTTTGACTTGTCTTCAATAATTTTAAATTGCTCGCAAATATACATTACAAGGAGAACTTTAAAGCAGACATATCACTCACACTTACCAGTACACGAAAACAAGATACAACTGAGACCTACTAAAATAATAACACCAAAGCCAGACATTTTTTTGACGATATTCAATCTGAAAGAAAAATTTGAACTCACGCAACATATTACTGTATATGAAGCATTAAATTGGAAATCATCTTAGGTTGTTTATACGCTGCATTCTTTTCAACTATTTCGAGGCTGCCTTTCTTTCGTGGATACAAAAAGTGCAATGTTTTTTCACCATAATTCTACATTCAGCATTGAAGCGCGGTAACCATTGAACCCTCTTCTTCGGCACCTTAAGAGATATAGCGCGGGGGTCCCAAGCCCACTTCGAATTTTCCCAGTCTGAGTTGCAAAAATTTCAACCTCTCAACATAATAATTTACGTCGAAGCTGGGTTTCTAATATGGACACCATTGACACTTCGACCGCATGATTCTCAAGATTAGATTTCACTTTTATAAATTACGCGTTCGTAATATCATCAACCAAAATATAAGGGGCAGCATTGCCGTTGAATATGTGAAGTCTGCGAAGACAGTCAATCTCACATTAATACAAAAGTGAAAACCCAAATGCCTTAAAAATTAGCTACATGCAAATAAATATTTGTGCGAATTCTATATCCTAAGCCTACAATCTACGACTCGGAACTATTGCAGAGAATGTTATATTTTTAGACACATAAAAGGAAACAGTTAGATCCGGGAATCATCACTGACAAAGTTTAATATTATTAGGTATATAATGGTTAATAATTTGACTATCGTTCTTAGGTAATCAATCGATATTTAATTCTATGGATAACAACAGGACAATTCTTTGCAAAACCACAACAGATGCTACCATGTCTGAATTCGGTGTTATTTCATTCCATCTACCTCTCAATTCCTTATTTGTTGACATTTCATCAAGACAAAATTTCAGTATGTTTTCCTTTTCCCTGAGAATATTATCCTCATGACTGAGACTGGTAGTACAAAGGGGATGACTGAGACTGGTAGTACAAAGGGGATGACTCAGACTGATAGTATGAAGGGGATGACTCAGACTGATAGTATGAAGGGGATGACTCAGACTGATAGTATGAAGGGGATGATTCAGACTGATAGTATGAAGGGGATGACTCAGACTGATAGTATGAAGGGGATGACTCAGACTGATAGTATGAAGGGGATGACTGAGACTGGTAGTACAAAGGGGATGACTGAGACTGATAGTGCGAAGGGGATGACTGAGACTGATAGATACTAAAATCCAAAGAGATATAAAAAGTTAAAGGGGTTGACAATGACTGATATTACAGTAATTATAAATAAATAAATAAAAGAATCCCTTTTTTAAATTTATCAATATTATGGAAGTTTATAAATAAATACTAGTGACTGTAAGAAGCAGAAAGAAAAAATATGTAATTTATTAATGTGGCCATTTAAAAATACTCTCACTCTGTCAGTCGGTGTTTTGTTGATAAATTATTATCATCATTGATGATTTATTTATATTTATATTATCATTATCATATGATTTAGAGATTTAGTCTAAATTCGCGACATACTGTATATTGACCATTCAAAATCCACAACAGATATCCTTTAGTATACGTTCAGTTGATCGTAAACATAAGTTTGCATCAAACTAACGCGAATGAAGTTTTATATGACGGTTTTTTGCTTCGATTCTGCAACCAGCCATACTGGGGGATTGTTGAGACTGGGGGAGAACTGAGCCCGCACTGCTACGTGCTCAGTCATCCCCCTACAATGCACATGCGCATTAGGTACAAGGGGAGCGTTGAGACTGGGGGAGCTCTGAGACCGTGACACCGGACTTAATAGAAGTTCAGTCAATTTGTGCAGATAAATAAAAAAAGGATTGACGTGCTCATAAATAATAAAATTGTAGTTGCCATTAGCCTGTTTCGTATCTTCCCCCAATAGTGAGAAAACTGCTAGTGCGGCTGTTTTGCTGCTGAAAATCACTGGCGAATCGTCGTTAACAGTTTCCTTCGCTGGCACTTTATCTTGCCCCTTAAAGATAACATCTCTAGCTCTCTTTACTGCCCACCCAGCATGGCCCCGGACAGTGTCATTGTCCTGGTGTGCATTACTTGTAGAAGATGAATCCCCCGTATCATGAGAGAACGAGAAATGCTCATCATTATGCAAAAACAACAGACTCGTTACCATACTTCCGCATCACACATCGATCGGCGCGCAATGAGCGCGTTGCACCGCCCTATATATAAGCGCCCTGGATAACAACGTTGGTGAACAATCGCCAAGCAAGCTAATGCACAATATTATTAGCTACATACCAAATATTGCTGACAATTGGATCCAACAATTAGCTACGAAAGTGTTACTTTCATGTCTTCCTTGTCAATCTACTTCCTGATACATTGTCATTGATTTCGTCGACAGCACATGGCATTATAATTGCATAGGTTTAACAAAAAAATCTGTTGACGGAATTCCTTAGGAAGTTTTTGAAATTCCTTACGGTAGTTCTCTGCAATACAATTCCACTATCACTTCCGCTTCATTTATATACAGGGCGTATCTTGAATCCAAATACAAAAGAACTTCTTCACGCAAAATTTATTATAATACATCCAAACGTTTCGCTGATTAAGGCTTCATCAGTGGAATGCAAAGTCAACAAAGGGGTACCATCTACATTGCTGGTTATAGCCTAGCATTGTTTTATATATGTCTTCTTTGATCGTTGATAAGTAAAATCTTCTGTGTACCTGATGTCTTGATACACTCACAACTCACAAGTACTCTCGAGCGATCCTCTCTCAATGTTATCCATTATATATGTAAATGTTTGGAAAGAATGTTTGTTTTATATATAAGATCAGTTGTAAACATCGCTCCCATTATGACGTCATCCTATAAAGTAATGTAACCTGGTGACGTAATTTAGTGCTTACGAAGGCTGATGTAACTGTTCGTATCCTTTGATGTTGTAATAAAACTTTCATGAAGTGAAGAATGCTTTGAAAAAATAAATTTTAAGGTTTTTGCTTGTAAATATAGTAAGAAGGGATTGAAATTAAGGGTATCGAAAGTATTAGCTTTGAAAACATACAGGACAACTGTAGATGCGAGAGCTAATTACAAGTTTATGTTAATTTATGTTAAGTGCATGCTTCACTGTATAAGATTTTGGTTCGTGGTTTCTGGGGCTTTTTGCGTGCAAGAGATATCATAAGGATATCATACGGATGCTTGAACGGCTCAGCACATTTAGTCAAGTACCGTAGCTGAACCTCATGCAGAACCAGAATAACGTTACACTACATAACAAAAGGTTTAAGTATTCCTAAGTAGCACTAGAAGATGGGTTCAAATTGCAAAGATGTTCAGGACGCGTGAGCGATGAATGTGAAAATTGACGGGTACAAAACACTTGACAATATATGTAATTGAGTTGAATGTTGATGTTTATATTTAAAAAGCTACAATTCAAAAGCCATATACTGAGGAATTTTTTAATGTATAGTTCGAGAGCATTTGCTTCACTTAATATTTTCAGATACATGCGACCTGTCCCAAAAAAACCCAGGCATATACACCCACTTGGTTTCTGCAGAAAACGAGATCGTATTGCATGATATATTCTTACCATAAGGTCTTACTTTTACTTCGATTGATTTTTCATCCGTTGCATTTATGCAGCTTTGAGCTTTGCATGTGTAAGTTCCGCTGTGTTCTGCATTGACATATTTATGTTAGACGCAATAATTGTTCTCCTTTTCCTGTCTCACTAATCTTGACGTCATTCTTATCATACCAGGTAACATCAGCAGTCGGCCTTCCACGTTCTGCTTTACATAAACATGTGAAATTATTGGCTTCGTTTACTGTGCTTGGATTGGAACAACTGAATGTGATATTTGGAGTCACTGAAATGTAATGAGAAGTCATGTAGACTTACAATATTAACTAAAAGTGAACACCTATTTTAGCTTTTTTGATAAATGGCCACATCATAAAGAGTTCGGCAAATCATATAAGATTGGGTAGTAAAATAGTGAAATATTAAGACTACGCATGCAATTAATTGCTGGATTAATTGCTAGAACACAATAAACCTTTTCAGCTTGCATGCAAATTAATCCATTTCAGATGTCGTGACCATGGAATAGCCAATAAAACTTAACCATTTCAGACCATGTGATTTGAAATGGTTAATTTGCATACAAGCTGAAAAGGTCTATTGCTACGCATTGCTGTTCATTTGCAGCTTTTTAATAATTTCTGCTCGAACACAATCATACCAACGTATTAACATTTGCTTTCCTTTAGTTTATCGAAAATTTTACGATTAAAATTTTACTCTTTAATGAAATATAATACATATCGCATTAAACATTTGGCACGGTTCTTCCCACTTCGCCTACACTCATATGACGTTTTAGGTGCCTCCGACAAAGATGCGATTCTATTCCACCCAATTTTAAGATGGTTGACGCTCTTTGCTGACCACTTTCAAAATTCTGGTCTTCTATATACGAGACGAATTGCAAGTTACTGTCACACGAACGCAACAATTGCTAATTTATATAGTAAAATTCAAATTAAATAGAGAGATTGTGGTATATAGCCTTTACATTGAAAGATAGTATAAGACTGTCGAGAATAAGCATTGGGATGTGCATGTGCATGTTTAGGCCCATATGGCTTGAAGAATAATTAAAGTATTACTGACGCTGTGCTTTGGATCCCGGTCCCTCGCAAAGGGCACAAAAAATCCGACATCAACAAGTCGACTTCAAGTTAAAGATTGATAGTTGTTTTCAACATCTCTGGTTTTGTTCAACTCTGCATAATTTGACTCATCGTTACTCGCAGCGTCATTTCTTGCAGCATTCCCTTTCAATGATTGATAATTATCTTCTCGGTTCATTTTCTTAAGATCCAGCTCTTGATAAGTTGAATCAACTTGAGCTGTTGGAGATTTAGTTTTTGATTGCTGAGGTTTTCCTCTTCTGCGACGAACACGAAAGACAACGTAGGAAAGAATTATTCCGACGAGGATCCCAGACACCAAAGTTACAACAACGATATACCATTCAGTTCCACTACTACATTTTTCTGAATTGTTTCCTGAGAATATGAAGAAACGGACTTATAAATTGATTACAATAACGTAATTAATAACATTTAAAAAGGACAATTCCTTTTCTGCAGCGTATTTGTTATTCAGGCAAAATAATTTTTATACAATTATTTAAAATAATTATTCTATATATTACTTTCAAATCAATTTATTATCAACCAAAGAATGGCAGACGTCTCAAATCTTGAAATCTTCATTGGATCGGTTAATTGGCGTGTTATCCAGCTAAGCATTTTACTCGTTTCCTGCATTACAAATTGATACCTACAGATTACGGGACTCGTCAATTAATTACCAGGCCGGATTACACGTCAACCCATCAATGAGGTCTATAAATATTGAGGCAGTACCTCTTTTATTTCTTGTCGGAGATGCAGAGGTAGTTGTAGGTGGCTTACAGGTAAGTGAACAGGTAGTCGAAACCACAATTCTGATCGTCTCCATACTTGTGCTCGATGCTATTGGTTTACTGTATGATGATTTCATTTGCTGCGTTGTTAGTTGTGCTCCTTCATGTACGTCAGCATTATTAAAAAGAATATATAAAAGAATAATAGTTATAGGCGTAAAATACTGGCGCATAGAATAGGAACACTGGCTCACACACACTGTACAGCCCTTATACCTCAACTTTCCCCGGATATTACGATATATATTACATATAAGTATGAATATAAACGTCCCAAAAATGAAACATGAGTTTGAAGCAATTTCATTTAACTACCTCCAGAGAAAAATTGAAAATCTGTCTTTTAATAATTAACCTTACCAACAACAGTTAAATTGGCAAAGGCTGAATCGCTTCCAAGTTTATTTGTTGCAACACATTTATATGTTCCTTTGTGAGTGTAGCTGACATTTTCTATAACATGCGTCCTTCTGTTATCGATATGGGAACCATTATGGAATATGGCATAACTGGGTTCAGGAAGACCATCTGATTCACACGTAATGGTGACTGATCGACCGACCGCAGCTTCTTTTGGTGTGAATGTGATGTTTGTATCCCGAGGTTTATCTTCGAAGAAACACAATCCTTTGGTTAATGATGCACAAAATTTTATATCAATCTATTTACACGTAATCCAAATGCTCAATTCCTTTCAATTCTTCAAGAAATTTATAAACAATTCACAATTATAAAAAGAACAGGAAATTCAGAAACCCATGATACAGTGTCACAAGAAGGCCATGGACCCACAATGCATGCATGCCAATGAAATTGTCTTCTATATCAGAATTACTTTATATAATTATATTAAGCCACCGCGCAAGGTGGTGCAAAAAAGTGCAGCCGTTTGACTTATTATAGAGAAAAAAGAAAAATACCCTAGTACATGAACATCGCTGAATCCCGACATAAATTTTAACTTAAATTTCTGCTTATAACACGAAGTTTTAATTTAATTTTTAAACATAATTAGTATAACCGCGGAGATATCGGTAAATCAATTTTATTACGCATTTGTGTCAGACTTCAAAATTTTCGAAAATTATTGCATGAACTCATTTTTCATTTAACTGCTTTGTTTCTAACTTTTTTAAGCTCTTCGAATGATAATAAAATAAAAAATAGATGAGGGAAACCACCCATTATACATGTTTAATCATAGGCTACATAGTAAAATGTGGGACAATTTAGATGCTAACATTTATCAAAACAATTTAATAGGCTAATTTTTACCACATTTTCGTATTTGTCAAATTTTGTATTAAATTCTACAGTATTTGGTGATATCCCAGTGAATTTTGCACGTATAATTAAACGTGGTATACTTCAAAATTAAATTTATCCTTTTTTGAATCAGGCCGGTACACTTTACTTTGGCTACGTATTTCGAAACATGCATGAACATGCACTCAATAGGGTTATTACTTAATTATTGCCGTGTATAAAAATGATTCCGTTCATTTACATTTTTCCAATTGAATTCGATAATAAGGGGTTAGGATTTGATGTAGGATTTGATTTTACTAAATGTTTTCATATATGACGACCTGTTCGAAACAGAAAAAAAACCCAAGCATAAATATATGCTACACCCACTTGACGAACAATCGTACTGCATATATACTTACAATTAAGTCTTACTTTTACTTCAATTGATTTTTCATCCGTTGCATTTATGTGGCTTTGCCTTTGGGCCTTGCACGTGTAAATTCCGCTGTGTGTTGCATTAACATTGATTAAAGTCAATAATTTTTCTCCTTTTCCTGTCTCACCAATCTTGACGTCATTTTTATCATACCAAGTAACATCATCAGTCGGCCCTCCATGTTCTGCTTTACATAAACATGTGAAGTTAGCACCTTCGTTTACTGTGCTTGGATTAGAACAACTGAATGTGATATTTGGAGTCACTGAAATGTATGATGAGAAATCGTATCGACTTACAATAATGACCAAAAGTGAGCACCCATTTCAGCTTTATATTAAATGGCCATGCACATCTAATTTAAGTGAGAATTTTACATGCGACTTAGGAGCGCGATATTATGCACTTATTTGATATGTTTATACAACTACATGCATGGTGTTTTATGTCCACGTAGCCTGCTGTTCATCTCTTTCACATTCACAGCCGTTTGACACACTTAATTGTAAGTTCTTCTGCGGTCATAAAAAGCTCTCATGCTGGCCAAGAACGGCATGGCCATTCTGCATGGCATCAGCAACGATATGTTTCCCTATTTCGTGAAGAATTCTACAGAAACCTTGAATCTTCGAAAAGTTTGGGAAGCTTTAAAGTTTACATGAAAAAGAGGAACTTGCCTACAATAATAACGACAACTTCAGAAGCGAGGGATGAAGTCGCAAAAAGTAGAAACTTGTATTTTCCATCATAACTGTTATTAACGTTCTTCAAAACTAATGTTGCTGGTTTTTCTACTGCAACCTCAAGAAGGGCGGTCTCAATAATAATGCCACCATCACGACTAATACTAGCAAGCGCTAGCCCCTTAAAGGAACCATCAGTGCTTGTGAAACTCCAATCTCGAAAACGAACAGTTGATATATCATCATCAAATGTCCAGTTTATTCTCGCAGTAGACCCGGGTAGGAAAACCAAGTCGCTTCCATTAGATGGTGGAAACACAGCTCCTAAACATCACAAAAAAACAAAATGGGGGCAAACATTTATATATTCATGTTAATAGACCGTAAAAACAATAAATTTCAAAAGAACCTAACTGTAAATTACATGAATATTAACCCTCCCCGATTTCAGGATCTTCAAGTAACTTACGAGGCAAAATTGGCATGGATTCTGTTCACGGCACTGATCTTTCTTATAAACTGGGTGGTAGAAATTTTCCCTCATTCGCGAGAGATGTTGAGTACAAGTATATGTGGTAGAAATTCAAATATATATTTGATGTGCGCAGAAAAACGGAAAACTGAGATCCCAAACCTTGACTTGAAAGCAGCACACATGTAAGGCCAAACAGAACTAAAAAACCAAATCGAGCCATCGTGAACGCTAAACCTGCATAATGATAAGAAATAATTTCTGTCACACGGCAGCTTATCACTTTTGTATTATATATTTAACCGTATTCCTTTGTATATACTAAACCTGAAGTTATCCATGCATGCCATTGCAAAGGTATGTTTATTTAAATGTTCCATGCATTCAGCTTATGAGACTACCGGTCTGATATGGATGATACTCTGAGAAAATGCGGAGTAAAGATCATGTCTAAAACGATTATATACTTGACATCCTTCGACTGGCTGTTCACCTTGATCAATATTTGGACGAGGATTTTGTTACTAGTCTTAAAATACGTAGTCGGACAGACATTGACCTCGAATGTGGAACTAGCAATGACAATGTTCGCCCGCGCATAAGCTTATTTCAACCAATACCTTTGAGGCTAATATTACACAAATATGCCCTTTCATTTATGTGTCAATACAAAGATACAAAATTTTATAATAGCATACCGCCAAGACAACCATTTTTGCTTTGACTAGAACTGATCAAGCTGGCTCCGACTAATTGATGCTTGTTAGTTGTTTCGCTTCCTGGTTGGTATAACCACACTGATATGGCCAATGCCTAGAATTCCTTGATAAGTATTATAAAATTCCTTTATTGATCGGCAAAAGTGGCTGACTCCTCCGCAGTCCCTTAACATGACTCATATCAGTGATATTTATAGATCAGTGGTTAAGAAAAATATCTAATGTTTCATTTTAATTTCATTACTCGTTCGCATAACACCAAAGGCCGATGGGGCAAATGGACAAGATGCTAAGCCATTCGTAAATACTCGGGGAGATAGCGCTGTCTGCACTGATATACAGGGTGTCCCCAAAAAAACGCAACCACTTAAATATGCAAGAATATTAATATTGTTCGGGTTTGCACCATAGTTCAGCTAAAATGACTTTTAGCATTGTAAATGAAGGATTAAGAGAAGATTTCAATTCCCAGAGGTGCTTATCTATTGCGCTTTAGAGCTGTATTAATGTTCTGCATATTTAAGTGGTTGCTTTTTTTTTGGGACACCCTGTAGACCAAAATAAGCATCGAAATTATTAGGATATCGATGTTACTGTCTCATATATGTAGTTTTCTAATTATGTAAGTCTTTTTATGTCCAAACTTGACCTGAAATTTCACAATTTTAAACTATAGTATACAAAAGAACTAAATACAAAAAAAACAGAGAATTCAATAAAATATTCGGGTTTAAAGCCCGCTGCACACGTGAGCTATTATTAGCTGAGCTAAAGACCTCGCGTGGCTGTTAGCTCAGCAAGTTACTCTCGTGTGCGGATAGTTTTTCGTGAGGAATATCACTGCCAGGATCATGTTATATACTCATGTGTAATAGTATATGCATGTATTGCCATTGCCATTGTAATCGTCGGCAGTGCTTGTTTTCAATAATATTAATTCAATAATAACATGGCAATTTCATATCCAGTCGCCTTTTTTCTTTAATATATATTTGAACTACTCATAACATAACTTCGGATATTATTTTGTTTTATAACCCTTATATCCCAGTCGAAGTCAGACAACAGCTATGACTTTGAATGTTAAACAATAGCGTCGGACCCATAACTCCATAAGCAATGTTAATGGTCTTATTTTAGCCAATACATTTCAAGTTAATATTGAACAAATACTCTTCTGCAATACTAGGATTTATAATAACATACCACTTTTACAAACAAATTTTCTCAGCCTGAAACCGATCAAATGTGCCTCCGACTAGTATGATCCTTTATTTCACTTCCGCGTTGGTAACCACACAGCCTGAGCATGCCGTCGGCTTTAGTCGAAGCCTAGAATTCCCTGATAACTAAAATTCTCTGAGAGTTTCACGAGTTGCACGTGCATTCATAAATAGTAAAGGCAGTGGAACTCGAAATTCAAGGCAGTAAACATAACAGTCTGCATATGTAAAGCACTTGATTTAGCCGTTGGAAAGCAATAAAACAAAAAAACTTTACCTTTGATTCCTTGATGCCGGCTCTAGTTAACCGATTAACTTCTCTTTACTTAATTGCTTTCAAAATTATTTGCTAAAAATTGCTAATTTCAGGGAATTAAGGTGGGGGGACGTTGCTCCACTATATCTGGTAGAAATTGCCCATTTCGTACATCAAGATATTATTCCGGCTCATTTAAAGATTGAAGAATAATTTTTCCAACATTAGGAAAAAATAATTCTCATCAGTTGTATCAAATCTAGGATTTTGAGTGATAAATATTTCTTATTTTAAGAAATTAAGTTCTAAGCGAGATTTTGTTTTCTAGAGTTTGCACAAGAACATTTTTCTTTGCTTAAGAAAAATGTTCTCTGCGCGTGCATCTTTTCAAATAACATGGACGAGAACGATTTTAAAACATCAATCATGCATTATAAATCACAAGCCAATGATTTTGATATTCATCAAAAACTTGACTCCGTCTCCGTTCTTCATAACGCGTTATTCCAAGAAAAACATCCATTTTTGAATTGGCAATAAAGATCGCTGTGATTCCGTTTGTTGATGTGCATAATAAGACATCATGCCTTGTTGCAGTGTTACCTTTTACTGAAGGTGTGGGAGAAATGCTCAAGCTTGATGTCTTTATAGTCGATGATATCGATGGCAGCATGATTGATGATGACTGTCCTGTTATAGTTTCGCAATACATAAAACAAAAAAGAACTAATTAAGTTTTAAAAAATAATAAAACATCAACTATGCCATTATGAATCGTAAGCGGATAATTCCGAAATTCATAAAAAAAAAGCTAGACTCTCCATCAAAACACCCACGTTTAAGTTATCCAAACAAAAACGTCCGTTTTGAAAAATTGTTAAATAAAATCATTGTAATTCGGTTTGTTGATGTGCATAAAGACATCGGCGTCTTACCTCTTACTGAAGATGTGAGAGAAATGCTCGAGCTTGATGTCTTTAAAGTCGTTGATGGCAGCATGCTTGATAATGACGGTCCTGAAGATGTCGGAGAAATATCCGAGCTTGTTACTGTTTGTGATGACATTATAGTCCCTGGTTCATAAATTATACCTGGGCTCTTTGAGAATTTGATAACTACATTCGAAGGTTTGGCTGCCAAAAGAACAAAACCATTATTGTAAAAATACTACATGTATATACACCCAAAAATTTGTTGCATAAATTCACCTGATGAGGCAAGCACTGTTTGTTAACATGACATGCATGCAAGTTTTATATTTGCAGACTTGTTTTTTAGGGTTTTAAAACACATATTTTACTAACATATACTCCGCAATGATTTTAGCCTCTATATATATAATATGTGTTAGTTTCTATATTATGCTTTTCTGCATGTTCAACTACCCTCTCGAGTATTTTATATACTCACAGAAAACTATTACTTGGCATGATTTTTCGTCTGTATAATTTTGATGGGGGTAGCTTGTGGCTTCACACTTGTATGTTGCATTGTCTGTTCTACTAATATTTGAGATATTCAATGTTTGTCTTTCTATTCCAACATCAGTAATTTTGACTCCATTTTTAAACCAGGTAACATTAGCAGGAGGATTTCCACCTTCACCTCTGCATAGACACGTGAAGTTATCACCTTCATTTAGCGTGACTGGACTGGAACAATTCAATGTCACGGTTGGCTTCTCTAAAATATATTGACATACCAATTATACAGTATGGGTACTTAATTGTTATAGATTAAGTCAATGTGAGGTATAGGAGAACGCAGAATAAACACAAATTCATGGACGTGTTATAAATGATAAGGAAAAGATTAATTCACTCAAAACCCAAGTTTAACAAAGCGTTATTGTAATTCATATGACACCGTTAAAGCTCTCAGAAAATTTCACTTAGTTTTGTTTGCAATCAGGTAACTTTTCAAAAAAACAAACATGCTTGTTTTTGCCATACAATCAACCGTACTATATTTTAGGCCCAAAAATGTCTCTGCATACCCGAAACCCTAAACGCCGCAATATCCCTTTATATTAATTGTGGCATGTTTTAAGTATAGTTGGGTTTGTGTTCAAATGATATGTTTCATATTTTGGTCAAGACCAATCTTTGAAACTGGAAAATTTAAATCAATAAAAGACTGAACTTGCCTGCAACGAAGACGACAACTTCAGACAAAGAGCTAGCTGTAGATGCTGTAACAGTGAATCTGTATTTTCCATCATAACGGCGATCAAGATTCTGTAAAATTAATGTTGATGGTTTTTCTACTGCAATCACAGGAAAGCTAACGAGTATCGTAGGGCTATCATCACGAATGATACGAGCAAGCACTACTGAACCGAGAGTAGCGTTTGTACTCGTGAATTCCCATGACCGATAAAATATAGAAGATATAGAGTCATCAAATCTCCACACTATCTTTGCAGTTGATCCAGGTAGGAAAGTAAAAATGTTCCCACTTGATGGTGGATAGACAATTCCTAAATATGATAATATTGCGTTATTTTAAGAAATTAAGTTCTAAGCGAGATTTTGTTTCCTAGAGGTTGCACAAAAACATTTTTCTTTGCTTAAGAAAAATGTTCTCTGCGCGCGCATCTTTTCAAATAACATGGACGAGAACGATTTTAAAACATCAATCATGCATTATAAAACACAAGCCAATGGTTTTGATATTCATCAAAAACTTGACTCTGTCTCCGTTCTTCATAGCGCGTTATTCCAAGAAAAACATCCATTTTTGAATTGGCAATAAAGATCGCTGTGATTCGGTTTGTTGATGTGCATAATAAGACATCATGCCGTGTTACCTACCTTTTACTGAAGATGTGGGAGAAATGCTCGAGCTTGATGTCTTTAAAGTCGATGATGGCAGCATGCTTGATAATGACTGTCCTGTTATAGTTTCGCAATAAATGAAACAAAAACTAATTAAGTTTTAAAAAAGTAATGAAACATCAACTATGCCATTATGAATCGTAAGCGGATAATTCTGAAATTCATCATAAAAAACTCTCCATCAAAGCACGCACGTTTCAGTTATCCAAACAAAAACTACCGTTTTTGAAAAATTGTCAAATAAAATCACTGTAATTCGGTTTGTTGATGTGCATAAACACATGGGCGTGTTACCTTTTACTGAGGATGTCGGAGAAATGTCCGAGCTTGTTACTGTTTGTGATGACATTATAGTCAATGGTTCATAAATTACACCCGGGCTCTTTGAGAATTTGATAACTACATTCGCAGGTTTAACTGCCAAAAGAAAAAAAACCATTATTGTAAAAATATTACATGTATGCACCCGGCAAAAATTTGTTGCATAAATTCACCTGATGAGGCAAGCATTGTTTCTTATCATGACGTGCATGCAAGTTTTATATTTGCAGACTTGTTTTTTAAGGTTTTAAAACACATATTTTACTGACATATATTCCGCAATGATTTTAGCCTCTATATACAGGGTGTATAAAAAAAAGTAGACAATTTTGAAATGTTTAGAAAACTATAAATTTATCAAAATATCTCATAGATTTGTGCTAGTATGGGTATTTTACCATCTTCAGGTCATTCTAACACTAAAAACAAACAGAAAAATTAACCTCGAAAAATGGAAGAGCGGTTTGTGGAAGCATCATTTTGAATGGCTTGTGCAAACATGAATGAGAGGTTTAAAATCCAATTTGAATTCAAGGGCTGAACGTTTGGGTAATTGTTTACAAAGAATCGAAATTTCAGAAATTTTGATGAAAATTAAGTCAGCCGCGCAACTGCGTAAACGTGGGCTTTTTTCCGTTTAACTCGCAGCTTGAGTAACTTTTTTCACAACACCATTGTTAGCTTAATCACCCGAGCAATCACTCATGCATGAAATCATTCGTGCATGAAAAAAGTTACTCAAGCTGCGAGTTAAACGGAAAAAAGCCAACGTTTACGCAGTTGCGCGGCTGACTTAATTTTCATCAAAATTTCTGAAATTTCGATTCTTTGTAAACAAATACCCAAACGTTCAGCCCTTGAATTCAAATTGGATTTTAAACTTCTCATTCATGTTTGCACAAGCCATTCAAAATGATGCTTCCACAAACCGCTCTTCCATTTTTCGAGGTTAATTTTTCTGTTTGTTTTTAGTGTTAGAATGACCTGAAGATGGTAAAATACCCATACTAGCACAAATCTATGAGATATTTTGATAAATTTATAGTTTTCTTAACATTTCAAAATTGTCTACTTTTTTTTTATACACCCTGTATATAATATGTGTTAGTTTCTATATTATGCTTTTCTGCATGTTCTACTACCCTCTCGAGTATTTTATATATATACTCACAGAAAACTATTACTTGGCATGATTTTTCGTCTGTATAATTTTGATGGGGGTAGCTTGTGGCTTCACACTTGTATGTTCCATTATCTGTTCTACTAATATTTGAGATATTCAATGTTTGCCTTTCTATTCCAACATCAGTAATTTTGACTCCATTTTTAAACCAGGAAACATTAGCAGGAGGATTTCCACCGTCACCTCTGCATAGACACGTGAAGTTGTCACCTTCATTTAGCGTGACTGGACTGGAACAATCCAAAGTCACGGTTGGCTTCTCTGAAATATATTGACATACCAATTATACAGTATAGGTACTTGTTATAGATTAAGTCAATGTGGGGTATAGGAGAACGCAGAATAAACACAAATTCATAGACGTGTTATAATTGGCAAGGAAAAGATTAATTTACCAAAACCCCCGGTTTAACAAAGCGTTATTGAAATTCATATGACACCGTTTATTTTTTGTTTGCAATCAGGTAACTTTTCAAAAAACAGGCATGCTTGTTTTTGCCATGCAATCAACCTCGTACTATATTTAGGCCCAAAAATTTCTCTGCATACCCGACTATAAACGCTGCAATATCCCTTTTCTTACAACCGTGCTCGTCAATTAAATTTCTCAGGTAATTATAAGTCATTGAAAACCACCAATAAATTTTATTAATAATTATATTAATTGTGGCATATTCTAAGTATATTTGGGCTTGTGTTCAAATGATATATTTTATATTTTTGTCAAGACCAATCTTTGAAACTGGAGAATTTAAATCAATAAAAGACTGAACTTACCTGCAACGAAGACGACAACTTCAGACAAAGAGCTAGCTGTAGATGCTGTAACAGTGAATCTGTATTTTCCATCATAACGGTGATCAACATTCTGTAAAATTAATGTTGACGGTTTTTCTACTGCAATCACAGGAAAGCTGACGAGTATCGTAGGGCTACCATCACGATTGATACCAGCAAGCACTACTGAACCGAGAGTAGCGTTTGTACTCGTGAATTCCCATGACCGATAAAATATAGAAGATATAGAGTCATCAAATGTCCACACTATCTTTGCAGTTGATCCAGGTAGGAAAGTAAAAATGTTCCCACTTGATGGTATATAGACAATTCCTAAATATGATAATATTGCGTTATTTTAAGAAATTAAGTTCTAAGCGAGATTTTGTTTCCTAGAGTTTGCACAAGAACATTTTTCTTTGCTTAAGAAAAATGTTCTCTGCATGCGCGCGCATCTTTTCAAAAAACATGGACGAGAACGATTTTAAAACATCAATCATGCATTATAAAACACAAGCCAATGGTTTTGATATTCATCAAAAATTTGACTCCGTCTTCGTTCTTCATAGCGCGTTATTCCAAGAAAAACATCCATTTTTGAATTGGCAATAAAGATCGTTGTGATTCGGTTTGTTGATGTGCATAATAAGACATCATGCCTTGTTGCAGTGTTACCGTTTACTGAAGATGTGGGAGAAATGCTCGAGCTTGATGTCTTTAAAGTCGATGATGGCAGCATGCTTGGTGATGACTGTCCTGTTATAGTTTTGCAATAAATGAAACAAAAACTAATTAAGTTTTAAAAAAGTAATGAAGCATCAACTATGTCATTAAGAATCGTTAGCGAATAATTCTGAAATTCATCATAAAAAAACTCTCCATCAAAGCACGCACGTTTAAGTTATCCAAACAAAAACGTCCGTTTTTGAAAAATTGTCAAATAAAATCACTGTAATTCGGTTTGTTGATGTGCATAAAGACATGGGCGTCTTACCTTTTACTGAAGATGTCGAAGAAATGTCCGAGCTTGTTACTGTTTGTGATGACATTATAGTCTCTGGTTCATAAATTATACCTGGGCTCTTTGAGAATTTGATAACTACATTCGCAGGTTTAACTGCCAAAAGAACAAAACCATTATTGTAAAAATACTACATGTATACACCCAAGATTTTGTTGAATAAATTCACCTGATGAGGCAAGCACTGTTTCTTATCATGACATGCATACAAGTTTTATATTTGCAGACTTGTTTTTTAGGGTTTTAAAACACATATTTTACTAACATATACTCCGCAATGATTTTAGCCTCTATATAATATGTGTTAGTTTCTATATTATGCTTTTCTGCATGTTCTACTACCCTCTTGAGTATTTTCTATATACTCACAGAAAACTATTACTTGGCATGATTTTTCGTCTGTATAATTTTGATGGGGGTAGCTTGTGGCTTCACACTTGTATGTTCCATTGTCTGTTCTACTAATATTTGAGATATTCAGTGTTTGTCTTTCTATTCCAACATCAGTAATTTTGACTCCATTTTTAAACCAGGTAACATTAGCAGGAGGATTTCCACCTTCACCTCTGCATAGACATGTGAAGTTATCACCTTCATTTAGTGTGACTGGACTGGAACAATTCAATGTCACGGTTGGCTTCTCTAAAATATATTGACATACCAATTATACAGTATAGGTACTTGTTATAGATTAAGGCAATGTGAGGTATAGGAGAACGCAGAATAAACACAAATTCATGGACGTGTTATAAATGATAAGGAAAAGATTAATTTACCCAAAACCCATGTTTAACAAAGCGTTATTGTAATTCATGACACCGTTTATTTTTTGTTTGCAATCAGGTAACTTTTGTTTGCAATCATGTAACAGGCATGCTAAACAAGCATGCCTGTTTTTGCCATACAATCAACCTCGTACTATATTTAGGCCCAAAAATTTCTCTGCATACCCGACAAAACGCTGCAATATCCTTTTTCTTACAACCGTGCTCGTCAAATAAATTCCTCAGATAATTATAAGTCATTGCAAACCACCAATAATCTGTATTAATAGTATTATATATTAATTGTGGCATGTTTTAAGTATATTTGGGTTTGTGTTCAAGTGATATATTTCATATTTTTGTCAAGACCAATCTTTGAAACTGGAAACTTTAAATCAATAAAAGACTGAACTTGCCTGCAACGAAGACGACAACTTCAGAAAAAGATTCTGTAAATGCTGAAACAGTGAATCTGTATTTTCCATCATAACGGCGATCAACATTCTGTAAAATTAATGTTGATGGTTTTTCTACTGCAATCTCAGGAAAGCTGACGAGTATCGTAGGGCTACCATCACTAAAGATTCGAGCGAGAGCCACTGAAACGAAAGTAGCGTTTGTACTCGTGAAATACCAAGCCCGATAAAATATAGAAGATATAGAATCATCAAATCTCCACACTATCTTTGCAGTTGATCCAGGTAGGAGAGTAAAAATGTTCCCACTTGATGGTGGATAGAGAACTCCTAAATATGATAATATTGCATTATTTATTTGATAATTTTGAAGTGTTTCATGACAACATAGTTAATTATGGTTACAGTGGTTTGACCGGGATATTCACAATATGGGAACTAAGCTAAGCATGCATATAGAAGTTTAAAGATGTTTTTATTTCACACCACAGAACTGAGATGTAAGCTTGAAAGTAGCAATTAAATTCCGAGAAGTTAAAAGCGGTCATTATTCGTAGCACCATGCTCTCTAACCCTAATGCCATCGATCATAACTAGAGACAAATAAGTAAATTAGCTTTTTGGCACATCACGTAAGTATTTAATACTGCAAAGCTTTCGGTCCGTTAACCCGGTGTCCCAGGAAATTTGCCCCCCCCTAAAATTTCGAAAACAAACATTAAATAAATAAATAAATACCCAAGTGGTAATTTCCTAAAACAACCTTTCCTATATGTATGTATAACCGCTAAGCATAATTTATAAGGTCGCCAAATTAAGAGTTTCTGGGGAGGACAAATCACGTATTGCACAGTTCGGAAATTTGGTCCCCCTCGATAACGTATACTTTATACTCTCAATATTATACAAATAATGAATGTTTATGAGTGCAATGGTAAAAATATTTTCACGAGGTGAAAGATGGAATGTTCCATTCAACGAGGCGATAGCCGAGTGGGCCATATTTGACACCGGGTCTTCATCAGTGCAATGAAGGTTAATGCTAAAGAAAAACTGATGAAGGCCCGGAGCTTTGCAGTATTAAATACTTACGTGGTGTACCTACCAGCTAATTTACTTATTGATGTCACCATGCAAACATACAAGAATATTATTCATTAGAGACAAATTAACGAAACGTTGACATGGAAACGTCAAACCTTGACATGGAGACAACACACAAATGAATCCAAACAAAATTAGAAAACCAAACCAAGTCATCATGAACACTAAACCTGCGAAGGAATAATAAAAAATGTCAGGAAATTAATATAAATGACCGTTTTTGTACAGGACTATATAAGCAGATAGAGGAACCGATCAGGGTTAATTATTTGGTTGAGTACTCGTATGTAGTATAGTTCAGATTTGTTTACAACCTTAAATTTAGAAACTAGATTACTGATACATCATTACCACCATGAATGATGCCTGAGATATTCAGTAGAGAAGACTATCGATACCTCATTAAGGTTGCAGTAAAATATCAGCCGTTTTAGTGAAGATCACAATAGCTATCAAGCTATCATATTACTTCAGTTATCATTTATGCGACCAATACGTACGACTTAAAGTCATGAATACTAATACTTTACAGCATTTTTGGTAATAATCCATTCCTGTAAAATCTTTCAGATCAGAACTGTCTCAAGGTATGCAACAGCGAACTTTCACCGCACAACACGAGAGCAAACAAATATGCAGGAATGTAAATTACATATACGAATTCTACCATGTAAGAAGCCATAACTTTGGATTATTATGAGACGATCTGTACTTGTTTTCAAAAATCACATACTTCTCACTTGGTTGTCGTTCATAAACTCCGCTGCACACGAGAGCTATCTTCTTTCGTCAAAGCTTTAAGTATTACCAGCTCGTATAACGTCTTTTGACACTGTTAGATTGAAGACACAGGAAATTATGAATTAATATACATCACAAATGTCCACAACACTATGTATATTTCTAGCATGCATGCATGGTATTGTTTACTATTAGTCGACCGTGCTTTTAAACTTAGCTCATAACCTTACCTTTGCTAAATTTTCGAATAACAATCACAATGACACTGTGTCAATCGTCCAACATTTGATAGGTAAATATAGTCAGACAACAGGTTATACACCTCACAGCCCCGGAAGCATTTCGGCAACGCGAAGCGATTTTCAGTTTCCGTATAAGTTTTCCAATTTCCATACGCTAAAAACTTTTATCCTATTATAATATCCTCGAGAGTTAATTAATTAACGATAGTACATTTTGGCTGCTTTGGTAACCATAGTTTCCAAAAATTGCTGTTAGAAGTAAACATATTTTTGAAAATTAAAACGAGTTTTTGTTCTTGTGCATGGTAATGAGGCTTTTAGCTTAGCACAAAAACGAAATTGTATTTATTTCCTCACTTTCAAAGCAACTCACAATATATAAACAAGCTCATTACCGATGTAGCAAGGTCATGGACATAACATCTAATTGGGAATTTGAAATATTGGGCGATACTGCTCAACTGTATAAGAATTAAAATCAATGATATACTCACAAATATCCGTTACTCTAATTGACCTTTCATCTCGTGTTTTAACACGACTCTGTCTTTGATCGTTGATGAGTCAAATCATCTGTGTCCCTTCGGTCTTGACACTCGGTTTCATACGTCGTATAATCATAAATTATAGGTGTGGTCGCTAGCGTTTGGACCGGGCATGAGCACGATATGAATTTTCAATGAGCCACAAGTTCGGTGAGTCCCATAATGAATTTACCTTGTCCAAGATTTCGGGCCATAAAATATTAAATGCACTCGCTATGTTGCTTTAATTATGATACCTTTATTGTAAGTAACGTTTGTTTTTTATTTTGTGGCAACTATTGCAGCTGGAACACAAAATTGATTCCGAGAAATCCTTTGATCTGTTGTTATGGGATATTTTTGGATAACTAAGTATTAACTCTTGGAACTCATCAACAGCCGGCTGTGCTAAACTCAAAAAAAGAAATTGTTTCTATGCTTTTTGTGCAATCAATGTAATTAATCAGGTTACAACATATTTTACATGTCATGCTGTGGTATACAGTATACTTAGAATATTGTGCGAATAATTAAAGACCATTATCATCCCTTAAATCTAATCATATATATCTAAGTTATTAACATAATTATATTATGCATGCAATCCCTGGATCTAAAATAGAAAGACGATAACTTACAAACGTTTTCTACCAAATTTCTCTTTGAAATCAGATTCAAGAATTTTGAGTTTCAAGTCAGAAGCTATGGATCACATGCAAACGCCTGACGGTGCTTTTAAAAGCAGCCCTGTTATTACTGTGATATCGTAGAAACTTTGATAGGGTAAACCCGTTATTTTTACCCGTTATTTAAGACAACCATGCAGCAATAGTGTTTGAGGCAAGGTGCTCAACCGGGAACTTAAACTGGTTGAAAAAAAGGCAAAAAGTTAGTAAGCTCTCGTCAATATATAAATCACAACCTATGGCGTGACACTAATAACTATACTTGTTATATAAAACTAACTATTAAAACAAATCGTGAATACACATATAGTAATATAACAGAAAAACGCTATTACGTATTCTCGTGTTCCTAAAATTCCGCAGTTTTTTAGACAGCACACCATTACGTATTGCCAAATACAGTGATATAATTATATCGAATCAAATTCTAAAAACTCTCTGTAGACATGCATGCAAATTGGCTCAAAAGATTGCCAAACCATAACAAAAAGCAGTTAAGTTGGAATTTCATCCATATACACTCAGCGACTAGCCGACTAGGTAGCTAGATTGGGAAACTGAAACCGCTTTAAAAGCTGCTGGCTTTGCCAATGTTGCAAAAACACAAGACATCGTGCAAAATTTCACACTTTGTATGAAGATCATAAAAAAAGAAAATCGTTTTTCCGATAAAAGTTGAATAAATATTTCCCGTAAATATTTCCCACCGCACGAATACCACGGTAGAATTTCCACCGCGGAAAACTACAAAATATTTGAGAAACTCTACTTTATTCTATGTTCATGCACTTAATAGGTGATTGGTAATCAATTACTTTAAGCTATAGAATGTTTAAAATCCACTTCTTATTATGTACATATCACTCGAATCAACTTCTCCTGTAAAATAGAAGACAAGTCAGTCGACTTGAAGTTATGATATTTGTTGATATATATAGCATATAGAACAAGGAATCAGAGTGTAAATTGTGTAAGTATAGTGTTGATATAGTACCATGCAAAAACAACCCTCTTTGCCTAAATATACGACTCATTCTACAAGAGTTATAAGAGTTGATGTCTTTCTACAGTAAGTGTCAGACAACCCATTTCAAAAGACGATATTGAGATTGACATGCAACCAGGGGGGGATCCTCATGTGTGAACGTAAACGTAATATCCGTGCATGTATAATACCCAGCTCTTCCCTGGTAACATTAAAAAATATTTCAAATGAAGATTTGTTGAATAATTTCATGTTTTAACAACTATAACTATAACTATCGAGATACGGTAGCGAGCTTAAATCGGGATGTTAAAATAACTCACTTAGTCTTTGCCATCCTCAGTTATGTTTATGCGTTATCTGCATTTGGTGTCTTCCCGGTCTGCATGAAGTCAATGCTCGCATACTCAGTTGGTGCATTTTTTGTTTCCGGTTGTTTTTTCTTCGACCCAGGCTTCCTCAATGCCTCAGAGTCCAGAGATGCATACAGCTGCAAAATAGGACGCTCTTGAGATAAGGGGAAAACCACAGTTAATAGAACTGATTGTCTAAGATTGTAATAAAACTGATTGTCTAAGATTGTAATATAGTGATGATATGATCTATATTGTCGGTAGGAACACATGCACAACTCTTTGTCCTATGCTTATATTGTACTGTGTATATCACATTAATGGGGTTGCATGCTCCTCGCCTAATGCTAGTAAAAATGGGTTCAGAAAGAGCGCAAATTTCAACGTCAAATCCAAATAATGGATTTAGCAGGAAGCTTCTCAATCAATTAATCAAGCAAGGTTTTGTAGAATCTACTTAACTGTCTACATACAGTCCAATTTTCAAACTGTTCCTGATTAAAGCCCCTGCATTGTTGTAAGTGATGATGAATTCTAAGGTTGATTATTATAACACATTGCAAGATTTCATATTATGATATGTTAATAAAGTTAGTAAATTGTAGTAAATACCTCCAACCTTCATTCAGGTGACAAACCTTATCTTACACTGTTGCACCACAATAGATTATCTGGTTCATTCTCTTTTTAAATCACCATTGCAAACAAGACTGTGGATAATGGCTGTGTGTATGTCTTAGTTAGGTGAACTCATATTGTTATGGTGCTACTATGAGTTATAAACCGGGCAAACTGAAAATTAGCCCCACCGTGGTCAAGCAAATTTTTCACTTTCATCACAATAAGAAACCGGAAATGCATACAAGGATAGTTTTAAAACTCAAAAAGTACATATAAATACATTTTTGAAGGACAACAGCACAAAACTAGCTGATGCAAAAAATCTTCTTTCCGGGTCATGCATTCCGGCAAAATGTATACTCGTCAACTCTTTGTGAAATCGTGTTTCTCCTCTTCACCTACCGTGTTCCCTTGTCTGTTTTCCTTATTTACCGAGGCATAAACGGGGGGGAGTGAGTCTCCAGCAGGCTTCTTCTTATCCTGCGAGCCTTCACCATCATCGGATTGTTTCACCGTATCGTAGGCGCCTGCATCCTCACCATGATCTTCCTCCAGTTCGTAGTGGTTTCTTATCACTCTTGAGCCATTCGGGTTCACGTCGGCATTTCCTCTAAGGTAGCACAAAAACAAAAATATATATAACGTTTTGTAACTATATTCGTACGATCACGTATATAGGAGTGCAATAATGAGAATTTTTGTATGAAACGAGAGAGAGACATGTCGATACTGCTCAAATAGTGGTGGAAGTGATCGTATAGCTAGCGTGTCAATACATAAGGAATATTACTTAATAATAGATTTTATTTACCGCCTTTGGCAAAGAATTACAGCGGTATTACATCAAAAATATTTTAAGAATTTACATCGATCGGTTCTATAAAATATATAAAAAATTTTCCTATATCTAAACTTGGGTATAAATACTCTATTTATATTTATAAAACTGCTTTATAGAAATGCATGCAAGTATGACTATTTTAGTTAATTAGTTTTTACTATGTACATTAAAATATTTCAGCCAGGCAGCTCTCGGTATAAAAGATTGTTTATGTCTATCTGTCGATGAAAAAAGCGCCGAAAGAGGGTTACAGCCTGTTCTTAGATTGTGTTCATTTGCATTTGTACTACAGATCAGTCTCTTGCATGGATGATTTTCTGAATTTAGTATATTTTCATACTCTTTACTTGTTAGATAGTTTCTTCTTGATGCAAGTGACTCGATTTTATTCCTTGGTAATCCAATAATATCTAAACAGCGGCTTTGTACTCTTTCGATGTCCTCCTTTAGGTAATCTGGTATGCCTGCCCAGATTGGCGCCCCATATTCCAGAATGGGTCTTATTTTTGTGCAATAGGTCATTAGTCCTATATCACTTGGAAGATTTGCTTTTCTACAAGCCCTCACAAAATAGATTTTTTTACTTGCCTTCTTAACGATATCTTGTACATGAGATTTCCATTTAAGGTCGTTTTGCATGGTAACCCCAAGAAGTTTGAATTTTTGTGACTCTTTCAATCGTTTTATTTCCTATACTTATACTTGGGGGAGCTGAACTTGATCTCGTAAATCCGATCCACATATCCTTTGTCTTACCGGTATTCAGCTGCATTTTATTCTGAGTAGCCCATTCTTCCAAGTAATTCACTACTTCCTGCATTTTACTATTTAATCCAGTAGAAACAAGTTCGTATTGGCTACAATCATCGGCATATTTACATGTGGATATTGAAAGTTCACTTGGGATACAATCTTCCATATCATTAATGTAAATGTTAAATAGCGTAGGTGAGATAACTGCTCCCTGCGGGACACCAGCTGGTACTGCTTCAACTCTGGAGAGAACATTTAGGACCTTAACTTGCAGTGTTCGGTTGGTCAAAAACTTTGACACCATAACCAGAATGACTTATTAATTCCCATATTTCCCAGTTTCGTTAGAAGAATTTCATGATCTACGAGATCAAACGCTTTTCGGAAATCTATAAACAATGCATGTACACCATCATATGGGCTACCTTGATCTGTGGCATCATACCAATCTTGAGTCATACTTGTCAGTGCACTCACTGTTGATCTACCCCTCGCAAATGCGTGCTGGTTAGTTTTAATTTTAAAATCAGCTTGGTTTAATCGTAATTGTATCTTCTCCAGGACTTTGGCCACTTGCGGTAAGACTGAAATCTGCCTGAAGTCGGTACTTAAATCCTCAGGGGTGTTTACTTTCGGAATGGGGGTGATCAGAGCATGTTTATAGGAGCTTGGATATTTGCATTGGAGGATACTAGCGCATATAATTTCATGAATACTCGGAGCTAATTCTTCGTGAAAACGCTTTAATACCCAAGCAGGAACCCCATCAGCACCGGATGCTTTCCTCGGATTTAAACGTTTTAGTATTGTCTTTACTTGTCCAATACTAGGTAAAGGCGGATCGCGATCTATAATTTCTACGTCCGCAGCCCTAGCTGCTAGTGAATTTGATTCTCGATTGGCCCAGGGGGCAATAAATGCATCGAGTAGTTTATTCGCCATTGACTCTAGTTCCATTTGTGTTGCATGTGTTGGTGTGGAAGAGGATTGTTTTTCGGCTCCACATAATGAGTAAATACACTTGAACCATTTCCTTGGATTTGAAGAGCGGGTAGAGCTTGCTTTAATCTCATAATACCTTTGTTTAGCATTTGAAATTAAATCAGCAACCTTGGCACAAAGTTTCCTGTATTCATTTTTATCTCCTTTAGTATATGCTTTTTGCCTTGCTCTAATTTGAGTCTTAATATAAGGTGTCATCCATTCTTTATCATTTGGGTGCATACGTATACATTTTTCCGGAGTATAAGTATCCAGCATATTTCCAATGATTTCATTGAAACATTGTACCTTATCATCCACATCATCCGCATTGTAGACATCCTCCCAATTTTCTAGATTGAGTGCAAGACCCAGTGCTCTTATGTTTCCAGGATGTAGATTTCTCACAGATCTTGTTGTTGCCTTACTTTGATTTCCCTGATTTGATGGTGTGAAAAGGATGCATTGGTGGTCAGATCGACCCAGCGGGGGAAGATGTTGCATTTTGTTGTAGAGTTTGGACATATTCGTAAGGAGTTGGTCCAGCGTATTTGAGCCACGAGTAGGGGCAAAAACTGCCTTCTGCAAATTGAACCTTTGACAAATTTGACTTGGGTTCAGATGATTAAAGTCTCCTGTAACTACTATGGCCGCTGATGGTCTATCCTTAAGTATGGAGTCGAGACATTTTGTTATATATTCCGTGAATTCTTTGGCTTCATTAGCAGACTTACTCGGGGGGAAATATACTTATATGATACTGTGGAATTGGTACTATACATGCAGCATAGTTTAGAATTAGAAAAAAAGCAGTCTGTGAAAGTCAGCGTCCTGATAAGAAAAGACCTGCCCATTGCTTTGATCAACTATTAAATGTATTTCTGATTTATATATAGTCAGTAAAAGTTCACAATAAGATGACTATCGTCCATTAAAATACTTTCAATTCGTGGTTTTACTGCATTGAATATGTGCTGGAGTTTATGTTGAGAAATACAAGAAACATATACAAAACTTAACTAATTTATTATTAAGTAGCCTATACACATTTGGCATGTAAGTAGAACCGATGCGATTGATTAAGAGTAAAGGCCATGTTACACGGTGCAATTTTTCTTGAGATATAAATGAGTGAAGAACAGTCTTCAAAATGTAAGTGTAAGAAACGCCATAAATTGTAATAAAGACAAAAGTTCGGTAGTTGCCAAATTTACATCTCTCAAAAGAAGAATTGCAATGCAAGTTGCAGGGAAAATTGCGCCGTGTAATGCCGGTTTTCCACTAGCGATATCTTTCGCGCGAAGCGACTTTATTCCTTTGTATTTGAGCAATTTGTTCTAGATGGTTGCATTTGAGAGCTCTCGAACAAAAGTAAAATGTCGATTCGCGCGAAAAATATCGCTAGTGGAAAATCGGCTTAACATGGCCTTAAAGGCGGTTTTCCACCAGGCTGAATTTTTCGATCAAACGAAACGGTCAAGAAAATCCGCCATAAGATTTGACAAAAGTTTCCGTAACAAAAAACTTACACACAATACAGATATACGCAATATACACAAATACAACGCAATACAGATATATATCATGTACAAAAATGACAATTACATAAAATTTTGAACAAAACGATTACCTACCTTTCGTCGTCTCCACAACAACATGACAATGCTGCACAAAAACATGACCATGCTGCACAACAACATAACCATGCTGCACAAGGATTTAAGATAAGATTATAAAAATATAAAATTTTATGAAATTATTAACCATCAAGGATCGATGGCGTACAGGAGGCGAAAGGACAATCAGGAGGGTTTAATGTTTACTACAGTACCGCCCATATTATATGGATATAGAAATACGAAATTTGGTTTAATTAACAAGTCGAAATTTTTTATCGTAGCAGCGGGGATTTCTCTTTTTCAGTAGATCCGACCATTACAGGAGTCATTCCGAAATCGGTAAACTCACCAAGTAAATCAAGAAATGGAAGAAAAAAGGGTAATAAAATTCTAGAGGCAAAGAATATTAGAATTCTAGAGATATTAAAAAGTTTGATTAGAGAAATGGATTATTTTTATAACTAATCCTAGCCTTTTTTTCCGTAACGTAACAGATAATTTTGCAAAAACGTAAATTTTAGGTAAAATACAGAAATATTTACTAGTGTGAGAAACTGCTTTTGACCGCTACATAAACCTTCACCGCTCGCATAACGATTATTTTAGTGAAGCAAGGAAACAATTAAATCAACTTTTAATGATAATGACGTCGGTGTAATGGATTTTTTAAAGCTATATAAAATTTATTTCGGTTTTACCGTTTTCGAGAAAGGGTCTACATTTTACAATATTTCATGCACTACCAAACTTATTAACTTACTTACAGTATTTCACTAGCGCTGCGTGGCCAAACAAATGAAAAACTTACTTCCTGTGCAACAGTAATATACCAGGAAACAAACAATCACGATGAACGCCAACCCACCAAGACTTAATCCCACAATGAGACCAGTATTGTTATCACTGACACTACCTGAGGTACCACCACCTTAGAAAAAACAAATAAAATTCCAAGAATTGAGAGGACAATTACTGCATGCCTAAAGCATAGGGGCACTAGCTACATTTCTTTTCTATAGTGTTCAGAACCAGGTAATCCCTTGAGCAGAAGTATTCAGAACAATGTGATATAGCTATTTATATATAAGAAATGATAAGATGTTCATGACGCAATTCACTTGTTTGAAATGACATTAACTGCAATCTGACATAACTATAAATTCGCTTCTTCGCTTATATATTAACTAGGTTATAACTAGGGATCCAAGGATAGTGCAAAGTTTTCATGCCCTGTAATACCTAAGCAACACGTTTTCCCAACATAAACATTTTGACTTATGCAAGTAAAAATATAATGAACTAGGTTAAACATTAATCAAAAGGAAATTATTCAAAGTACTCAAGTTACGTTAGCCGCGGATATTGTCACTATTAAATTATAATTTTAGTTGCCCATGTAAACCGGACGCGATTTTCTCAGTTTAGTCTCTTTTCTTCGTCAAACAACTGTGACTACATTCACTACATTTATATGATGGCAACAATTTATCGTCATTTCATAAGAATAGCCAAAATAGTTGCGTTGTAAATAATGTAAATAAACCGCGGTGCATATTATGTCTATGATGTGGATACTTCGACGCGTAGCTAAATCGATACAAAACAATATACATATAATCAATACTGTATACCGCCAAAATGATTTGATTACTGCACAAAGTCCGTTTTGTATAGTATCATTTATGTACTGTATGCAGAATACCAGGTATCGACTTGCTATATATCGACATAATATATATTCGTCATTCGTGTAAGAGATCTATCAATACATAAACAACACAACGTCGTTTCTTCCTAACCTATTAGCTCTATTTATGGAATAAACCTTCCAAATTATATTTGTGTCGAATTGAATGCTCGTAATTCATAACATAAGTTGATAAATTGCGTAGATTCTCAAAGAATTGCACGATTTTTACGCTCGGAATGTTTTGAAGCAATGCTCGTCGCTCCTCGTTTCTTTACATCGTGAATAATGTTGAAGCTCGACGGCACATGCGCAGTTGCGACGTATAGGAAAAAATCGGGTGTTCCGGGGGGAAATCTGCGCAAATCCCTTTGAAACAAAACCCAAACCGCGGAAAAGCAATGCTTTAAAATTTACAGTAACGGTCAAAATTCCTCAATATTTTGGTGAACTTAGCAAAAGGGATGTAGAGAATTAATAAATAAAGCAAGTTAAACTGATTTAAAAACTTTAAATTACTGATCATAAACAAAAAGGTACTATACGCATAAAAACACTCCGCCCCCCGGAGTTTACACTATGACTGACTGACTGTCTGACTGTCTGATGTGAATTTTCGCCACTCACCACAATACTGCAAAGTTTCACAGAATGTGAAAATGTCATTCTGCGTTACCTGGTGAAGTCGTGCTTGAGCTTGGTACTGTCCGTGTTGTTGTTGTCGATGGCGCGATTGATGGTGTTGGTTTTCCCACTATATGTCAAATGAAAAAAAAAGTTGTTATAGACTATATAGAAAAAAAAAGTTTTTTCAATCATAGATACAGTGTCTAAAAATGTGATCAACCTCGTTTCCAGGGTTTTTTGTTTTTTTGGGAACGAGGTTAAGATGTGATATGATTTGATCAATTTATTCTGGTTTTTTACACACTTTTTCATGTCTTAGAGTTTAACAGTCAGGTGAACATGCATATGCCACCGTCCTTAACACCACTGATGTTAAGGAAGCGTTGTTCGTAGCGGGTGTTTACATGAGTTCGGTTATCCAAGATTCAGCGAAACCTGAGATGATTTTGAGGCATTAAAATAAGTCTTTGTGAAACCAAACAAGCCTATTACTACGTTCGGGAGAGTGAAACGAAAATGACATTATTTGAGTTAATGACGTTATTTATTAGAGTACACTGTGTTGGGATGATCACATCACCGCCAGAATCATGCTATATATACTCATTTTATATATACTCATGTACATATACATATATACTCATTATATACTCATGTTATATATTCACATTCAATACCTCAAAATCATCTGAGACTTCGTTAATAAATCTCAGTTAACGGGGATCATTTTATTGCAGAATTTATTTTATAAACTTATTTTGCTTGTTAAACTATATAGTAGTGAGTAGTGTGATAAGTAGCATATATATAAGTTACATAATAAAATAAATAATAATAATAATAATAATAATAATGGTTTATTAACAGTACTTCCACAGAGTGGCTCTTCGCCTGTTAATTCTACTAATATACTATATCTAAAATTATATCTAGGGTATCTAAAATATGTATATTATATTTACACAGTTTATTAATTATAAAAAAAAAAAAAAAAAATAAAAATAAAATAGATTACCGTTCATGACTGTAATAGAAAATTTTTTACTTTGCTGCAAAATCTACCATACTCCTTAATGGAGCGAATGTCTGTTGGTAGTTTATTAAAAACTTTAGCAGCTTGATCTTGAAATGTTCCAAACGAATTGTTATTGGCCATTTCGAGTTTCGGAGCCGTTAATGACCTTAAACTATTAGTTGTATGCTGAGTCAATGATAAGTAATTTGGCCAGTTACTGTTATACAGTGCTTTATGAGCAAGTTTCAAAATACTATATTCAACTCTCTTGTCAACCGGAAGCCATTTAAGTTCGTTCAAGTCGTCTCTTTTAGCGTACTTTTTTAGTACAAATCCTGCGCAAGAATTTTGAACTTTTTGGAGACGTCTTATTTGATAATCAGGAAGTGGACTGTACACTGAATTGCAATAGTCAAGTTTAGACAAACTAAGCTTTCCACCAAATGCTTGCGAACGTGGTATGGTGCAAAATTTCGGAGTTTTCTAATCACGGACAGTGATGCGTAACATGATGACAAAACATTCGAGACTTGTTCCTCCCAGGTTAGGTTCTCATCCATGTAAACTCCCAATAGCTTTGTTTTTGAGACACGTTCTAACAAGACCCCTCTACAATTCATATCTGCACTATATTCTTGTAGTGAGTGCACTCGCGACATTTGCCTGGTCGAAAACATCATCCACTTGGTCTTTCTTATAGGGTTTAAAGCCAGATTTAAGTCAACTGAATAATTATTCAGTCTAGACACGGCTTCATTCATCTCAGATACACATTCCCCTAATGCTTGTGTTCTCGAATGAAGTAAAAGTGTCGTATCATCTGCGTACTGATGGCAGGGACACTTGATGCTGATTGTAATCCGACACATAGATGTTAAAATAAGGGGTCCCAATATCGATCCTTGAGGGACTCCAAAATTGGTTACAAGTTTATTCGATAACCTATCGTCGATTTGAACGAAATGTTGACGGCTAGTCAAATAATTTAATGTCCACTCAAGAAATTTCTTCGAAAAGCCCATAGAATGCATTTTTAGTATAACAGTTTTGAAGTTAATTGTGTCAAATGCTTTCGAATAGTCTGCCTGTACCATTAGTGTCACCTCGCCTCGTCTCATAGATCGAACAATGTCATCCCTTATACCAAGAAGAGCTGTCACGGTCGAATGTCCTTTGCGGTATCCTGACATGCTTTCAGCGAAAATTGCTAGTTCATCAATAAATCCGGTTACTTGGTGAAGTACTAATTTTTCAAACACCTTAGATAACACCGGAAGGATTGACACGGGGCGGTAGTCTTGATTGCTCTTGGGATGGTCCACTTTGGGTATCGGCGATATACGTGCAATTTTCCACGCTGTCGGGAAATAGGATGACTGAATACAGATATTAATTATATGAGTCAATGGACCTGCTAAATGATCAGCAACAGGTTTTAGAAATTTCACCGGAATCTGATCAGGGCCCGTAGAACAGTCTGTTCTTAAATGTTGCACTTCTCGGAGAACCTCGGCCTGTGAAACTTCACGCAACTTGAAAATGCGGTCTTCGGGATCAGACAGACTTTCGACCATCTTAAACAAATTCTCATGACTATCCACTATCGATTCGCCTAAGGTCCGCCATGCAGTGGTATTAAAAAATTCATTCAAATCACTTGGGTCGGCTCTAAGAGTCTTAGAGCTTGGATTGAGCACACGATAAATGGTTTTCCAAATCTCTTTTGGGCGTTTCGAAGAAAGTGCTTTGTTCAAGAAAGTTCTCTTTGCTTTATGAATGACTGCCTTTAACTGGTTTCGTACAGACCTAAAGGCATCCCAATCTTCATTATCACCAGTAGCATGTGCTTTCATTCGTAAATGGTTTCGGTCTTGCTGCAGATTTCTAATTTCCGGATCAGCCAACCAAGGCGCAGGAGGGCGTGTCACTCTTACCCGTCGTAACGGTGCATGTCTATCGATACATTCAGAAACCAACGTGTTAAACACCTCTACCTTATCGTCTGGGGAGTCAAGTCCATACATAACATGCAGTGGAAGGGTAGCGAAATCCTGCTTATATGATTCCTCATCAAAGTGTTTCTCATTACGTATGTACTTATGTCGTGGAGCAAATCTAGTGACACGCACGTTTATGGTGGCGTACGGGGCATCATGATCGCTCACAGATGGGCATGGCAACACATCTGAGTGCATTATCTTCGTTGGATTATTAGATATTAAATGGTCTATCAGCGACTGTGATGTACGGGTTATCCGGGTAGGCTTCGTTACGTGATTTGTTAAATTTAGTCCTTTAAGTATATCCATATATTGTCGCGTAACGGAGTTAGATTTATCAAGTAGATTTATATTCATGTCTCCTGTTACTATTAAAAGTCCATCCCACGTACTCACAATGGTGGATAACAGATCCTCAAATCGTTCTAGCCAGGCATGTAAATCCATAATTAGGTCAGATCGGTAAAAAGTACCAACTAGAAGTTTACTGTTTTTGTTTCTACCCGGAAATTCCAGCCACATATGTTCGAAATCGGGCTGTAATCTCTCGAGATCCAATCGCCTCTTGGACTGAACATTTTCACGGATATAGGCCCCAACACCCCCTCCTTTACCTTGTTGTCGGTTTCGATAGGTAAATGTGAATCCTGGAATTGATACATGTTGGAGCAGCAGTGCCAGTGGATTGTCTCTTAACCAAGTTTCCGATAGGGTCACAATATCAAATGGATAATCATCGAGTAAGAGTACAAATTCGTCAAATGTGGAAGTCATGCACTGCGTGTTTAAGTGCATGAAAGACAGATGAGAATTGCTTGTTGTAAGAGCCGCACGGTGAGGACATTGGTCAATAAATTGACAATGTTCTGTAGAAGTCTTCCCGACTTCATCAATGCATCTAACTGTGTGAAACGGTAACTCTGACATCAGGCACTTAGCACACGTCCAACTTGTGACAAACGACTTGAGAGTCTTGACAGATGTACATTTGAGATGACACGATCCAAAACATGTTACGCAAATGATTTTCTTTTGATTAGATCTAATTGTTTTTTCACATTGTTCACATTTGGATTTCATATTGTTGCTTTTGTCTGGACCTGGATTTACAGAAATATCGCCTCCTTGTAAAAGTATTTGCCGAGCTGCGTTTGAGTGTGGATAATAACTAATAAAAGCTCGCGACCGCTTAGCTCTTGTATGCTGAAAACGCTTATTGGGCAATAGATTAAACAGTGTCATCGGATAAGTTACTCGAATTCCTTCATTGTAAGACAAACGGTTCGATTGTATGGTTCGATAACCACGACCACTCGCACTACCGTCGACTGATAACATATAACACATTAGTTGTTGTTTAGTGAAGTTCTCCATGTCACCAACAGGAGTTCCAAGACTAATCACTTTCACCGGTTTCTCACATTGTATGGTAAACTTTTTATTTCCGAAGTCCTTAAGCCACAGTGATAAGCAATCTTGGAGTCCAGATAAATAATTCGCTTCACTGGTTTTGTCGCTTTGCCTTTGACTTTGAGCAACACACAAAAATTTCTCAAATTTCGCATCATTTACAATAAAAATTGCTGTTCCAACCACACTACGTTCATTCTTATTTACTCCCTCACATTTCTGCGCCGAGAAAAGAGCCGATAAGTTGCAATTAAGAATAAAAAATATCCAAATGACGCGGAGCGTAAAATTTCGTGCCGACCACATGCTGGTTCAATGCGAATCAATATGTGTATTTTAATCTATCCGCTTCTGTAAATTTAATCGGTGGATTTCCTCGTATGGGATTTTATGTCGCATTTGTGCTCCTACCGCTTGGACACTGTTCAATAAAGTATTTAAATAAATTATCTTTAGGCCGACTGTCGGCGACACATGAGAACCTGGCGTACGTATTGTTAAAGGCCTGTGACTAAGAAAATTTGTACAAAATAACAAATAACAAAATAATAATGTTAAACTAGTGAGTAGTGTATCAGTTGCATAATTGTATTTTATATATCTATCCGCTTCTGGTCGCTGCTGTAAATCTAATCGGTGGATTTCCTCGTATGGGATTTTACGTCGCATTTGTGCTCCTATACCGCTTGGACACTACCTAATAAAGTATTTGAATAAACTATAATCTTTAGGCCGCCATGTTTCGCCGACAGTCGGCGATGTATTGTTGAAGGCCGGTGACTAAAAAAAATTTGAACAAAATAACGATGCACTTTATTCTCCAGTGATCGCGACAATAGTCATCGCCGACTGTCGGCGACCGATGAGAACCATGGGCTTTTTAAAGTCTTTTATGTTGATTGTGTTTTACCCTTTATGAAATACTAGGCCTTGCTACGAACATTATATGCGATAAAACAGAACTGCCTATAATGAACAGTATATATAACTGTGGTAACTAAATTGAGGGCCGGCGGTTTATAAATCTCTTCACTATCCGTTGTTTCTAGTTACTTATATACAAGTTAACTTTCACACTAATTTGTTTTAAACTTCAACTACTTTTTAAACAACCAAACCCTGCTATTATATACACCCAGGGTTGCAAAAAAGCTGCGGGTACCACCTGGAGGAAGGTTTGCTTTGAATGAGGTTTGTGAGGAAAGTTGAACACTCTATCAAATAGAGTGTGCATGCATGTATCAAAAAAACAAATATTTCTTTATGCTGCATGGTTGCCACTTGACTTAGTGATGTAACGTCATTTTGAGGAAGGTTTTCAAAACTTGAGATCCTACCGGAGGAAGGTTGAGCTCTTTTTGAAAACTCTGTATACACCATGCATAATTTAATCAGATTGGTTGGATCCGCATTATCAGATCCACATGATCCGCAGAGGTTCCAATGCAGCGTATATTTGAGTGCCTTATGAGAGATAGAGGCATCTAGAATATATACTTACTATTGGCATCTAAGAATTTGACAGTTGAAAGTTCTCCCAATAATCCATTAATTGCTGTGCAATTGTATAATCCAGGATGAGTCCCGTTCACCGTTGAAATGGTATACGACATGTTTCTAGCGACTTTAGTGCCGTTATGGTATATTGTGTAGTCCTGTAAACGAGGACCACTTGATGTACATGTTATGGTAACGCTGCCATTGTTTGGGAAATAGAAGTTAACCTCAACATCTAAAGAAAAAGAGAAAAATATCTCTCAAGATAAAAATGAGAATATTGCATGAAAGAGCAAAAATTACGCTAGGGAACAAGTTGCACACCTCTTGGTCAAATTCTAAACTCCAACAGAGTTCAATAAACAGAAAAACAATTCTGGCGTTAACTCCGGCGCACGTGCCAGTCTTCAATACAGAGCTTCTGAACATAAACAATACAGTTCGCGTATTGTTTCGCATACATGTTCGCATTTAGATGCCTTGCGAACCTAAATGTTCGATCGCGAAATTCAGAAGCACATCGCAGTATAGAAGTTCAATTGTTCAAAAATGTAAATAAACCGCATGATACATTCGCTTCGTCTTACACTTTGCCTTGGGAATTCGCGCTTATATAGTTGTATTAAATCTTCGATCCTGTGCAAACTACGCGACGTGTCAACGCGCCCATACACGACCACATCATCTTGTTAAACGGCGAAATAGCAGCGATATTATTAAAATAGGACCGGGTCTACATGTATTAAATACATTCTTACCCCAATTCAATCTAAACTTAATCGAACAGCATGAGAAGAACGGTTTATTTGTTCCTCTTGGAGGAATTGCCGTATCATACGAGCGAAATCGAATCGCGCATTGGAAAATTAGCGAAAGCTGTGCACCACAACTCTTGGGAGATACGACTGGGACGTAGATAAATACGGTCACATACACATTTCAAATACTAGTATATTTCGCGCCATTACAGACTTGCGACGACGAAAAATAAAAAAAAAACAAAAAACAAAAACAAACAAAACCGGGGCGAATTTTCAACTCCGTCGCTGACGCCGGAGTAATAATACAATTACTTTAACTGATAATGGATTAACTGTATCCCATGCCGCATGGATCTCGTGACTAAGTTGGTACAGCGTATAGCAAAGATGGTATGTATGTAGGTTTTTAGAGTTTTAAAACTTTCTATTTTTTTCTTAAGTATAGCTGAACACTGCACTTTACTAAAGATCTGGAACTGGGTTTGTAAATAAAAGGTCTTTAACCGTAACCAACATTGTGGTTGGACGGATATAACTATTTGAATAATTTAGTCACTGAAGGCCAACTGACGCTGGTCTGAACAAATTAATAATATACTTACAATGAACTGTTATTGTGGTTAACTTTTTAGCCATTGCTGACGAGTGACTCTTGCCTACACACGTGTAATTTCCACCATCAGCCCTTGTAATATTAGGGCGGTTCAACGTGTTTTCCTCCCTTCGTATTTTACCAGTTAGGACACTATTTTTAAGCCAAGTACAATTTGCTGGAGGGTTGCCACCTTTACACTCACAATTACACGTGACGTCAACGCCTTCATTTACGGCCATGGCACTGGGGCAATCTGTTGTCACATTTGGTGTAACTGAAAAATGAAATCGTGAAGAAAAAAGATGAAACTTAAAAGCACACAAGCAATGCGCCTAAAAATAGGAAGATAACAAATTCGGATTTGCAATGATTTGATTGTTTTGTGTGTTAGATGCGGGTGGATCAGGGTTTAAGTTATTATTACTCATATTAACGCGATTATTGATAGAGTCCTTACGTTTTGTCTTAAGTTTATTGCCGTCCGTAGTAAACCAAGCTTCTTTGAATTCACGCGCCTGTTTTGTTTGTGCTCGTCCTAGAAGTTGCGTTTTTGTCCGGGCGAAGGTGCTGCATGAAAGTTGTCGTATGTGTGTGCTGCGGGTAGGGATTTAAGGTCGTGTCGTTTTATATCGTTCTTGTATTCAGTTAACAAAAACCGAATAACCAAATAATAGTACCCGAATAACCAGGGATGAAAAGACTGAAAAGGCAGAGGATTACTTGTATCGGATATATGCAACTCGAAAGTTTGGTGGGTTTGCACGACGTTAAATCTGCCGCTGGGTTGTTGGTTTTTCTACTTGATTTGTCAGCACAAGCAACCTATGTTCGACCGCACACCGATAAAATAAAGGCTGCGGAGCATGGGGTTAGGATTTGAGTTTTGTAATATTGACCTTGAAGGCGTGCATGAGGCAGTTTTTCACCAGGAAGAATTTTTCGATCGAACGAAAGTTTTTGAACGTGCATGAGAATTCGAGCATATATGCGACTATAGGTAAAAAGATAATCCAGCGAAAAATTTCGTATGATAAAAAAATTTCGTGAAAAATCGCTTTAATTGAATTAGCTATGCACCCGGCCTTGAGTAATCAAATATGTCGATACTTACTATAAACTATTACCACGATAGATTTTTTATCGGTATAATTTTCATGCATGTGGTAATTTGTGGCAATACACGTGTATGTTCCATTATCTGCTTCACTAACATCTAAGAGTTTTAATGTTTGATTCTTCGTTCCAACAAGAGTAACGTTGGCTCCATCTCTATACCAGGCAACTTTAGCAGGAGGATTTCCACCTTCAGCTTTACACAGACATGTGAAGTTATCACCTTCATTTAGTTTGATGAGACTGGAACAAGTCAATGTCACAGTTGATTTCTCTGAAATTTATCACAACATCAATTAAAATAGTGAAAGTCATATTTGTGTATTGTAGATTTTTGAATAATAGTTTTTTGGCTCACTATACAACCCTAAATATTGTTAATCCAGAATTGACCAAGAAATATAAGATCGCTGAAATGGATTTCAAACTCGCAAACAGTGAGCCACATCAATACCGTCGTCCCCAAACTTCTTGACAAATGCCTTTTACCTTGAGCGCTTTTAATTTAGACGCTAAACATTATTTTATGAAGACATGCACAGATCATCTTATTGTCATGGACCTATAGGATGTCTAAACATGCATGTACTAAAGATTGTTCAAATGTGACAATTGTTTCAATGCATGTGCATGACAATTTACCTATAGATAAAGTGAAATGATGCTCTCATACTGTACGTGCTATCATAAATAAACTGGCTGGGGCCGATTGTATCAAGCCCGTTTAGCTAGAACGGTGGATAAGTCCGTTTTGTACAGCATGAACTGTATTAGAATCAAGAGACTAAAATTACCACCAGCACCAATCCATATGTATTACGTTGGATTGCAAATTCTTTGACTAACAAAAGGCAAAGATCTATATTTTACTGGGAACTTGTGCTATAAGTACGGCTCAAGTAGCTAGATAATATTGAGATTTGGCCAGTAACGAACAATAGACTTTACTTGGGGAATATTTCCCCGAATCACCCTATCTCCAGTCCCCAGGTATATAAATAACAAAAAATTTTCGACTTTATTAAGCATAGCAGGCCGTCAATCGTGCGTCATTATCAGGCAATTGTCGGCGCGACAGAAAACATCGGAGGAATATCCTTTCCAACGCTAACAATTAAAAATAATAACCGGCCATTGGAGATGATCCGCAGAAAAGGAAAATCTTTAAGTATTCGTGTTATCATGCAACGCTATGAATGTTACCACAGTAATACCACTACATGAGTCACACAGCAATGTTTTGAATTTTCAAACGTACTAAGCAATAGCGAAGGAACAAACGCCGAAGGAAAGGGTAATAAAGTGCGAGAGAACTGATTTACTAATTTCATAAAAAGGAGCCGAATTCATTTTACCCCTTTGTGCAAACATACGGGGTCTTTAGGAAATACGAAAGTGAATCGGGAAAATTTAGGGTACTTGAGAAAGTATAGACCAATAGATGTATTATAAAGATTGCTAAAAAAATTGATCGAAAAATTTTTCCATTTAGGACTACATTAAACGAAACGGACTTAATTTGTTTCTTACGATCTTTTGAAAAAAAAATCTTCAAAAATATATTGAAATACGTGTAGATTAATATAGATTGAGCTAAAACAATAAGAGAAAATGAGCCTGGCATAAAAACAAGGTTCATGGTCATTACCTACGAGCTTAACTCCGTATTCATTTGTCAAAATATAAAAGTTCTATTTTATTTCAAACAGTTTATACTTTTACACACAAACTCAGATCGAAGATACGTGAAAGACGATGTGAATAACGGATGGCACAAAAATGGGCTCATCACGCAATCTTCCATGTGGTCGTCCTCATGCATCCGATTCCTCGAAATCAACTCTATCTATGTCCTCGATCTAAACCTGCGTAATAAAACTACTCACTTGCAATAAAAACGACAACTGTGGATGCACCTCCCCCAGATGCTGAAAGGATAAAGTTGTATGTTCCATCATAAGTTTGATTAACATTCTTTAAAAGCAATGTTCCTGGCTTTTTAATTTCAACGTCAAACAAACTGGTTGCTTTCATTGGCGGGCCATTTCTATTTATGCTTCCAAGTTCATATCCTTCGAATAAGCGATTACTACTTGTGAAAAACCAAGCACGAGAAATTACTTTAGTTGGATCATTTTTAAACGACCATGTTATATTTGCTGTTGCTCCATTTAAGATGATAAATGATTTCCCATCAGGCGGCGAGGTGATTTGGCCTATAAACATAGAAAGTAAAAATTCTTTCAAAGCAAGGGTTTTACCATTTAAACAGACGTGTTACTCTGCGTGGTAGGCTCATGCGGCCATGCGCGAATTGGGTGTGGAATACTATCAACATGCAAATTTTATTTCTCTTCATTAGTTAAATGTTTAAATATTTCGCATATCATGCATGTGGAAGTGAAATTAAATATTAAAACAAATTAAAGTTAGGAACTTCCTGGAAACACACGATCACAAGGCTTTGCTTAATATATCCATAATTTCAAATGCAGACCGTGTGCTTTTATGACCGGAAATGATAGCCCAATTTGTTTGTCGGAGGAGGACGTCATCGCATATTTAAATCGTGTTAAACCGGGGAAATCTAGTGGTTCCGATTGTATGCCCAATTGGTTTCTGCGGAAATTTGCAGTTATCCTAGCAATGCCTATATCAACAATAATAAATACATCCTTTAAAGAAAACCAAGTGCCTGTCTCTTGGAAATTGGCTAATATCTGCCCTATATATACCGAGAGGTAAACAAGTGATCGATGTTAAGACCTATATCCCTTACCTCAACACTCTGTAAAATTGCTGAAGATTTCATTATTAAACACGATTTACAACCGAGAATAATGAATAGCCTAGACTGTAACCAATTTGGTTTTATACCTGGCTCCAATACCACATTGGCTCTTATTGCATTCATCCATCGTTGGTCAGAGACAGTAGACAAAGAAAGCGGATGTGTGCGATAATTGGTTACAGACTATTGGAAAGCGTTTGATCTTATTGACCATAATGTTCTGTATGCGAAACTTCTAGAAATAGGTCTTAAACCATCAACTTTGAATTGGATCACGGATTTTCTGAGAGGAAGATCACAGAAAGTAAAGCTTTCCTCGAAATTATACTTAAACTAGAAACCTGTTAATGCTGGTGTCCCACAAGGGACTAAGCTTGGTCCATGGCTGTTTTTGCTAATGATCAACGACCTTGAAATTTCTAACGATCAATTTCATGGAGACATGACGAAATATGCGGATGATACCAATATATCAGAGTACATCGTTGATCACACAGATAAAAGGTCCTTGCAAGAAGTAACAGATTCTATTGTCGACTGGTCTCAAAAAAATAAATTCCAACTTAATCCCCCAAAATGTAAGGAATGTTGTGTTTTTCAAACGGAATCAACCTAACTTTCCTCCCATTTTTATTAATGTATCACCTATTAAACGAGTAAAAAAACTGTTGATCCTTGGTTTATCTATCACAAGGGATTTAAAATTGAGGGAACATGTGGACAAAATAGTTAATAAAGCATCGAAGCGAATTTATTTACTGAGGGAACATGTGGACAAAATAGTTAATAAAGCATCGAAGCGAATTTATTTACTGAAACAACTCAAAAGGTTTGGACTGGACGCGAATGATTTAAAGTGCTTCTATATGTCGCCGCAATAAGGTCGATTCTTGAATACTCATGTCAAGTTTTCCACTATAGTTTACCACAATATTTGTCAGAAGAAATTGAAAGGATACAAAGGAGAGCGCTACGTATCATTTACCCTCAACTATCTTATGAAAATGCCCTAGCCATGTTTGGGACTAAAGACTTTACACGTTCGAAGGGGTGATCTATGCAATTAACTTTTTAACTCAATTTTGAATGATGAGGATCATAAACTTCGTAATTTATTGCCTCCTATGGTAACATTCCAAAATACCGTACTAATAGATTTAGAGATACATTTATA